TGTGTATGTATATATATATATATATATATATATATATATATATATATATATATTTATTATACAGTGGCACATTATTCTACTTATAAACCTCTAAACCCTTGGTTTTGTGCCATCCTATATCGCGCTTTTCTTCTAATATATTATATTTTAAAAGAAAATCTTGGCAGTTACCGGCAAATATTATATGGTAGTTTCTCTAATAGAGAATACGCTTAATATTACATAAAGTACACTCCACTCTGCATTACAGATGGTTCGAATCGTTCGATTCGAAAAAAAGAGGCAAATATTTCTTTGCCCTAATAAGTCCTAATAAGTCAATCAAACATATGATTCGAAGTATTTGTAATGCCGCACGAAAAGAGGGCATTTGCAAAGGAATACTTTTTAAAAATAATGAATAATTAATTATATTGTTTTTCCATTTATATTGAAATTAAAAGAAATAATAGAAATCTTGTATGTTGACATAGATCGTGCGACATATTGATATTAGTAAAAGGTTCCATGTCAAAGTGATTTTTTAACTAGGAGATTATTACAGATCCTCGTGGCGTAACAATGAGCGCTGTACCGATTCATGGGACAAACGGATTGGAAAGCATGGAAGAAATTGGAAGCGGGTGTTTGACCCTTTCAGAAGAACTGCCTCAAGTAATCTTATAAGTTCAGCAATTCTGAACCTCAACAATCCAATTTCCAATCTACTACAAAATATTGCAATGCAGCAGCAGATACACGTATTTCGTATTGCCAAGTATATTCTTCTCCATACGAGAATCATTCTGATTTGTACAACGGCTTGATCGATGATCCCATCGTTAAGACTGAAGTATCTAATTTCGCTTTGTCTCCTTCAAAAATGTATAACCACTCGAAATTTACGATGTACTTAGTGTATCACGGGAGATTAGGATTCTGGCACAAAATCTGTCACATGAGAATACATGCTCCGTCCATATGGGCCGGTGTGCATGCGATATCAAAAACAACGGGTCGCTCATTTCCGTTCTACGATTCGCGATGCGTCCCATTGTATCTACTATTTTTTCCGATGTTGCTATTATTATCATATTTTTGGCAGATCTATAAATGCATAAAGATGCAGCTAGATTCACTCATTTGATGAAAGATTATTATTTGTGGTTACACAATATGTGCAGTGGTGGAGATTTTAAGTAAGCCACCTATTTGCATTCACATACACTCATGTACACAGACACACAAATGAACATATACACAGTCATACTTATACCTTAGGCCATTCAGTTTAGTACTTTTAACAATGATAAAAAAAATGTTCGTTTATATCTGATACCACAATAGTTGAATAAAATGTTTGTTATAGCCAAGTATTCTTTGTGCTTTGTGAATACCTGCTCTGTGCATCCAGCGCATACTACCATCGTTTTTATTCAATGAGAATGAGAATCTTTCGAAAAATCATCGATCTGGAAACGCGTCGCAAAATAAAAATTTGCTATACGTACGTATACGTGTATTATAACTACTATACAACGTTTTTCTATTAATAAAAAGAAATTGATTTAAATAAAAGTAAAAGCAGAATTTACGGTAAAGTCCGTTAGTTATCGCGCGCAAATTCACAAGCACCTTAACACTTGGCACAAAGCCTATAAATATTATTGACATATATGCTAGTTCAAAAAACTTTATATATGTATATATATGATACATATATACATACACCACACACATATATATGTATGTGCGTATTTATAAACTCGGTCTCTTTGTATGTTGATAATTTTTACAATAATTTACACTAGAATTTGCTTTTCATGGTTTCACAAAATTGCCTTGTATTTTTATTATGTGCATTGAATATATATGAATTATTCTATATAAATAATATATTGTAAGATCAATTCATGTATAATATACATTCAAGAGAATTTACACATCAAGACGAAACATACTTGTAAAGAATGTATAGGAATACAATACTTTCTTGTACACTATATCTTTTTTGTATAATTTTTCAAGGATTTGTCAGTTCCTATATAAATATGCATTAAGATTAATCAATTGCCATTTATATTCTCGCGCATTAAAACAATGTCTTAGTATCAAGCAGAATCTGATAAAAAATATAATGAGTGTTTTATAATTAGTTAAAATAATATTGTTTCTCTGATTGTTGCTACACTATTTTCGCTTTTATATAATTCAAACAGTACATTCATGAACACACAACATATATAAACACATATACAGATTAGTAAGAATATAATATGCATACATGCTATAATGAGCAAATGTTGTTATACATACAGCATATAAATATGTAAAAAAAGACTACATATTCTATATGAATAGCTATATAAATATATGTTTATTTTGTCCATTTTACATTGTCACATATATTACATCAAGTATTAACATTAATATATATACCATAAATGTGTAACTGGAAATCCCTTTTATTTGGCAAAAACGACGTGCATAATATAGATTCAAGTTTTTACTTCTTGTTTTCTTATAAACACATTAAGTTTTAACATCAATAATCTTTTAATTTAGTTTTTTGAAAAAGGGGAATGTGGAATAATAATCGCTATATTTAAATAAACAAATATTGGCTTAAAAACATGAAAATACAATGAAATGTTACTAATAGAAATAATATATTGCGCTAAAAATTTTAGCTATAATATTTTTCTGTAATATACTGTAATATCGTAATGTGCAAGATATTTTGGGAGAAGCACAATGGATAAACAGAATCGTTTGAGATACTTTACCTTCTTAAAGGTTAATATTTTGAACATATTTTTAAACAATTTTTTTATTGTCCTCTTTTTCCATCCCCTCCTATCTAACCCTCATCTCTATCATTCTTTATCCTTCCCCCTGCCAATCTCTCTTTTTTTCTGTATAGAGGAATCGTAAGATAAAATACTGTGCTTATTATTATCCTTTACATCTTATTGCTCTACATACAGTTTAAGTTTGCAAGTAAATATTTTTACTAACAATAAGTTTAATACATTACTTTTTTTTATATATATTAAAATATATTTCGAGCATGCTACAAAAAATAAATTAAAATATAACAAAAAAACTTATGCAAAATTGCATTAATTTAAATGTGTACTGACGTGCAATGCATAAGAACTAGCATATTTAATATTTTTGTGATATCTCCATATTGAATACTAGTAAATAACTTTTATTTATAATCTCCAATAATGATATAATAAAAATAAGATTCTTCTCTCTCTCTTCTCCCGATTTTACAAATATAAAACACCTCTCCATCGTCCATACGCAAATGTGTGTGGTGTGATGTAACAATTTTTTATAATATTGCCCACTCTATTCTATATTTTGTATATATATATATATATATAACATGTGTCTTCATTAAATATTTATACAAATTACCGTTAGCACACATATAAAGTTATATATGTATGTATACATTTTATTACGTTCCTCATAACATTGCTTCCCCTCGGTTGCAACGCTTTTTCCAGTATTTTTACGAGATCACGCTTTGTATATATATATATATATATATATATATGTATGTATATATATATATTATATATATACACACACAATAAAAAGGACTAACAATAAGTAATATATTGTAATATAATAATTAAAAAGTTAACATAAATATAATTTTCTTCCTGCACAAAAATCAATCCAATTATCTCGTACCAACAATTACGCTCGAACAAAAGCCTTTGTTTTTATTATTATCATTAATTTGAACAATAGATCAACGCTATCTTTTTTTACTATCAAAGAAGGATTAAAATTGGTAGTAATTTTACATTTATATATATATATGTATTTGTGTGAGTGAGAGCGAATATTATATATATATATATATTAGATCTTTTCTTTTACACACACATATATAAATGTAAAATTACCACCAATTTTAAGGCTATATTCCAAAATTCACTGCCACTACTAGAAATCTATAATTCCCATGACCTAATTCACATCGTATATTTTAATACATACTAACAATAAGTACTACACTGGCCAATCATAGCCATTGCCCTAAAGAATGGAATAGCTATGATTGGCCAGTATAGTATTTAATACGTATTAAAGTATATCTGTGTAAACTAAACTAATAGCGTTTTCGAATGAACGGGTTAATCCAACCCGGATCAATTATTCACTATATTTTACTATGAATTCAAGCCTTTTATTGACAGAGACGATGCAATGACGTCATTAATCGCTCTCAGAGTGATTAAACCTGCTACATTCGAAAACGCTATAAATGTATATTATATGACGTTTTCGACTGTGAGCTCTGTTACACGGCACCCTTAAAAGCCGAGCACTGTACTGGTACCGCGTTTGCCACGCATGCGCGAAAAATCCCGGCCCGAACAACAACACTGCCCGCAACCCGTAGTGTAATACGGTCTTTAGAAAATAGGCCTATTGGTCAGTCAGTCAGTCAGTTGTCAGTTGTGTTGTGTTGTGTTGTGTTGTCAATAGTCTGTTATAATAGCTGATTTCACAAAAAACTTATTTTAATTAAATAATTTCTTTTCGTCAAAAAATGAATGAAATAGAAAGCTTGCGACGGAGAATTATAGAAATCGAAAATGAATTACAAGAAAAGAAAGATAAAAATGCGGCAGCAACGAGAGAAAAGATCGAACATATGTCAGAAGAGGTAGTGGATTCGAACCCATATAGGTAAATTTAAAAATATTTTTCATTGTTTTTAGTCACTTATTTATTGCGCTATAATATCAATTTTATCAATTTTATAAATCGGTTTTTTATAAAAACGTTATTCTTTTTGTAAAAAAAAACTGTATTTATAAAAAATCTGCCTCTACATATACAACATACACAAACACACAATATAAGTGATCGAATGACATTTAAAAAAAATATGTGTGTGTGTATATACACGTTTAGTAAAATATTTATTATATAGAGAAGATATATATATAATATATAAGATTTTACAAGAAAATTTAGTAGTAATTTTGTACATTTTTATTCCAGTCGATTGATGGCGTTGAAGCGTATGGGTATTGTTGAAAATTACGAAAAGATACGAGAATTAACCATAGCTATAGTTGGAATTGGTGGCGTTGGTAGCGTAACGGCAGAAATGTTGACAAGATGTGGTATTGGAAAAGTAAAGGAATAATAATATTATTTACTGTACATTAATAATGGTAACTTATTGTCTAATACTATAATATTTCAGCTGATACTATTTGATTATGACAATGTAGAACTGGCAAATATGAACAGACTATTTTTTCAACCACATCAAGCAGGTCAGAGCAAAGTAGAAGCAGCAGCAAATACTTTGCGTTATATAAATCCTGATGTGGAAATTGAAGTGCACAATTATAATATTACAACTATTGATCATTTTTCCGATTTCATGAATACAATAAGGTATAAGTTTACAAATTTTCTTAATATTCGATTTTATAATAGATTTATGCATATTGAATATTTTTTTTAATTATGGTATATTTTATGATTAATTTAAATTCGCATTTTTGTAGTACTTCCAGCTTGGAAAATGGACCAGTTGACTTGGTATTGAGCTGTGTCGACAATTTTGAAGCTCGTATGGCAATTAATACCGCATGTAACGAACTTAATCAGAAATGGTTTGAAAGCGGCGTTTCCGAAAATGCTGTTTCTGGTCATATCCAATTTATTGTGCCTGGCGAAACAGCCTGTTTTGCAGTAAGATCTCGATTGTATATAAATTGGCTATTGGATCATACAATACACACGTGAATTTTTAAGAATTCTGTACATTGCAATTATTATGTTGTTAAATTTGAATTTTTAGTGTGCTCCACCTTTGATCGTAGCATCTAGCATTGATGAAAAAACTTTGAAACGTGAAGGTGTATGTGCTGCATCATTACCTACCACTATGGGTATAGTGTCAGGTTTTCTGGTGCAGAACACTTTAAAATTTTTATTGAGGTTTGGACAAGTGTCTTACTATTTGGGTTACAATGCTATGGAAGATTTTTTTCCTACAATGACTTTAAAACCAAATCCAAATTGCGATGATGCACATTGTAGACAAAGACAAAAAGAATATGCACAAAAGCCAAAAAGTCAACAAAAGCCAAGCAAGATTATTGAAGAAAAAGCTATACATGAAGATAATAAATGGGGTATGTATGAAAAGAAATTATAATCTCTTTTTGAAATATGCCTTTGTATTTTTGCATCACTCTTAGCTAAATACCTTTTTGGTAGGTATTTCATTAGTCAATGAACAAAGTGAGCAACCAGATGAAACAACATCCATATCGACTTCAGGTGTACGATATGCATATACTATTTCTACACCTACACATGTCACCAATTTAGAAAGAGAACAAACTGTTCCTGAATCTACAGGAGCAAGTTTAGAAGAATTAATGGCAGAGATGAAATCTATTTAAAAATAGTGCAATATAAATGCACACATACACATATTCCATACTTGAAATATTTTTTAACTTTATATTTAATATTAAATATGAATTGTACTTTTATTTTTATAAATGTAATTCTTTTTGTTGCAAAATAAATAAATAAGACAAAGAAAGGAAAGATATTAAAATTCTATAATATATAAATCTATACAATTTGTTCAAATCAAACATTGTGCAAGTTAAATAATGTAAATTTCTTTTTTGTTGCATACGATAGATTTTGTTACAAAGTTCCTGAGAATCTACATCTATTTAATGTGAAGCATTAACACAAAATAATAAAAAAATTTGAAAATCAAAAACAATATTTTTATTTTGTAATGACATTTTGATATTCATTCCTTAGAATTTCTATTTTCAATTATGTGTTAGTATATTTTTTAATGTATCTTAAGTAAATTATAAGTTTTTTGCATAGTATAATCTCTTGTATTCCAGAAATAATTATAATGTATTAAATAAAAAAATTTGAAATAGTAAAATATTTTTTATATAAGCCATATAACGGATTTTTATATAATTTATGTTCTAAAATATAAACCAATAAGTATAATATAATTCTGTTATAACCTTTTTATATATATTAATGGATAATATATATACAACACACAAAGATTAAATTATATGTCAAATTTTTCAAAGCATATAGATGGTCCCTCTTCTTCATACTCTTCTCTCGTTATCAAAAGATTTGAAAACATTGCATCTTGTGAAAGTTGTTTTCCACCGAACCATGCATAAGTAACTGGACTAAAAGTAGAAAAATATTTATTAGTATTTCGTAGTAGGCTTTTCACACTATAACACAAATAAAATATACACAAATGGCAATGGAATATATAAAATACTTTTGTGGTAAATAGACGTTTACAGCATATTCTGTTGGAGCTAAACTTCTAATTTCTTTGTAAATTCTGTCCTTAAATCCCGGAAATTTTGCATTACCACCAGTTAGAATAATATTGGATAGAAAATGGGGCCATGTTTCTTCGTCACAAGCTTTTATGGAATCAATAACAGCTTCAGGAATACCCATTTGCCGGATACCAATATCCGATGGATGGAATAATATTTCCGGTATGGCAAATCTTTCATTAGTCAAACGTAATGTTTGTTGTTCATTAGATGGTTCCGGATCCTTAAGATATCCACGTCGCAGAGTCGTATAATCTGGCAAAACATAATCCTTAGCAATAATATTTTTCTCCAACTTATATTTGGCCCGTTCCATATCTTTAAAGAAATCTTGAGACACAAAACAACAATCTTCTTTCACTTGATTAATTACATATGTTTCATCCATAACGTGCAGCTGACGATAAGACAATATCTCTTTCAGGTGATTTGTTAGAAGCTTACCACCTACATCTATTCTTCGTATCCCTTCTTTTACTTTTGAATCATTGATATAAGGTATAATATGCGTAAAACTGTAACTACTATCTATTACTATACAGCATTTTGTACTAGAATTTTCGGATCTGTAATTGTAACATGAAAGACTCGCTGCATTTATCCTCAGGAGACTGTGACATTCGTATTCCTCAAAAAAGATTTCTGTCATAGCTTCTTGTATGCTTGGAAAATTAAATATTGGTTCTGTCACTATCACAGACGACTGATTTAAATTCACCGAACAAGACTCTTTCGAAAATATATAATCCCATAGAGTTTTCTGAATATCCCAATTCACCAGATAACCTTTCTGGAAAGGTAACATGTAAAACAATCCGGAGGCATCTCTACATTCTTCGATTTGATTTCCAATGAAGGGTCTGCGACGTTCGCTCTTTGCTTTCATTATACAATTTGGAATTAATCTAAAATATTTTCATTCATTATTGACAATAGAGTGCACATCGAAGATGTAAATTTATGCATTTTGATATACTTACTTAGGTGTTTCATTGGATAAACCAGCTTTCGCTGTGTAAGCACCGTTATCGAGAATAAAAGTGGAGTTACTCATATTTTAAAAAATATCGTAAATGTAATTTTAAATAAAGTTTTGACTTTGTATGTCTCTCAACCGGTAATCAAGTTTTTGTCGTTGTTTATATACTTTACGTTCATCTTACATTTATACGACAAAAAAGGTCGAACCAATCATGAGCGTTTCGCCAATTCCGCGTTGCGCTTGCGCATACATTCCGCACCATGGGACCGTCCAATACTCGATTGGGATTGGTCGATTCCTTTAGGCTTACATCCTTACGGAATTTTGTGTGTAATGACCTTTAAGCCCGTGTCACACTACGCATTGCGGACGCGGATCGGATTTGGATTACGGACTGCGAATCGTCAATCATCCAATCAGATTCTTGGCTACTTCGCTCTGATTGGATGAATGACGATTCGCAGTCCGTACTCCAAATCCGATTCGAGTCCGCAATGCGTAGTGTGACACGGGCTTTATGATGTCAGTGGTCGGGTGTCGGGTCGGACTTTTCGAGTCGTAACGGTCGAAGTAACACCTGTACATCTCTCTTTTATTCTACTTAATTTGATAAAGATTCATACAGATCACATTATAAATCAATATGTTTTGGGGTAAGTGGTCGTTCTATACATATTTCATTAAAGTTTCATAAAAAGATAAATATTTAATATAAAGATTTGCATGTTGTGGTGAAATATTGTATATCTTGCGAAATGGCAGCGCCATGTGCCATGCTTACAAAAAAAAACGCGCGTTTTAAAATAAGACGAGACTCAAAGATCGCTTGCATTATTATGCTCGGTTTCTCTCATGTTGTTATTCATTGTTACAGCATTGATATTGGAACCGTACAAACGATACACGCAGTGTGTAAGACATACATTCCATGTGACCATGGCGTGTTTGGATCTGTCGCTAGCACGTGGTAAGTCATTTATTTTAATACGTTCGAAAATTCGGATTGTTCTGACTGAAACTCGTTTTTCTTCCATTTTAATATAGTTTTTCCATTATGATATTTGTACATGTGGGATAATAATATCGTGATACATACGTATATCATACGTTGAATACTCTCTTTAAAAAATTGTGTTAGTTTTCAAGAAAAATTGCAATTATAAAATAACATCTATACATAAGTATATACATTTGTATTATATAAATGGTGATTATATTACAAATGGTTCAAAATATTTGATCGATCAATCCTGATAACCTCCAAACCTTCGCCTTTCTTGTTCTGATTAATTGATAAAATAAATGGAAACCAAATAGAGTGTATATATTATATAATAGATGTTTATATTTACAAATATTATATGTAAGTATACATCATGAAATATTTTGATTTATTCAGAAATTTTTATCTCTTTTATTACAGAACCAGTACAGGTAATGGTAAAATGCAACAACAAAAGCTTTTTGCTTTGCACCTTAAACAAGGACAAGTTCCAAACATCGCTCGATCTAATTTTTGAAAAGGGAGAAAATATAACTTTTTTCTGCAATGGCCAAGGTTCCGTACATATGACTGGATATCTGTTGCCAAATGAAAATATAGATTCAGATTCTGAAGAAGAGATTGAGGAAGAAGAGGCAGAAGAGCAAGAAGAAGAAGTAAGACTAAATACAATACCTGAAAAGTCCTTAAAGAGAAAGATAGAATCGCCAAAAAACAAGAAAAAACCAAAGCTAGCTAAACAAGAACCTTTCGAAAGTAATAATTGGGATGATGATGATGATAATGAGGAAAATAATAGCTCTTTGGAAGAAGATTCGGATAACGACGAAGATATGGAAGATGAGGAAGATGAAAATGACAATGATGATGAGGAGGAGGAGCAAGAACATGAACATGAAGAATTTACAAAGCCTCAAAAACATGAGAAAAAGGAGACGGAGAATCAACGGCAAAATCAGCAAAAAAAAACACATGATAAGCAAAATAAAATAAATGGGGAAGAAATTAAACAAGAACAGCAAAGTAAGAAACAAAAAAAGAAAGCCGAACAGCAAAAGAATAATCTAATTGAAGCGAAAAAGAGAATCATTGAGGGTGGTGTGCAAGTGGAAGATACAAATCCTGGTAATGGTGCACTCGCAACAAGTGGCAAACTTGTTACAGTTTATTATGTGGGTCGCTGTAAAATAGGGAAAGAAGAAAAGAAAGTTGATTCGTGTACGCAAGGAAATGGTTTCAAATTCCGCCTTGGTAAAGGACAAGTAATCAAAGGATGGGATGTGGGAATCCCTGGAATGAAAGTTGGTGGGAAACGCCGTCTCACGATACCGTCTAATATGGGGTATGTATAATATTCGTTCTTATTCTTTTTTTTACGTTTCCTATTATATTGCCATATTATCGACTTTCATATAACGAATTATCTTTATAACTTTTCATCTCTTTATTTAGGTATAAAATTTATAATATTTTAAGCGCTAATTTAACGGAGCAATGTTTTTCTTATAGGTATGGATCTAAAGGCTCTCTTCCCGCAATCCCTGGAAATAGCACACTTGTATTCGACATCGAACTTAAGAACGTTAATTAAGTATTAATAATGAATCTAGTATTTACTATATATGATAAGAAAGCTCTTTAACATGTTCTTGTACCTTTACATTTCAAAAATATAATTTTGTTATTGCATGTCACCATACACATACATTTCAGATTATTTTTATTTAAAACTCGACAAATATCTCTTAATGGATAAATAAATAAGATACAGAGAAAGGAAAGATGTAATAAAATTCATATAAATTGTATAATTTTTCTTTAAATGGGACGTGCGAGTTAAATAATGTGAATTTCTTTTTTATTGCACAAGATATTTTTTTACAAAATTCCTGAGAATCTACACCGATTTAATATGAAGCATTAACACAAAATAATAAAACAGTTTGTAAATCAAAAACAATTTTTTTATTTTGTAATAACATTTTGATATACATTGCTTAGAATTTCTATTTCCAATTATGTGTTAGTATACTTTTTAATATATCTTAAGTAATTTATAAGTTTTTTGCATTTGTATTATATGTTGTATTCCAGAGAAATAATTATAATGTATTAAATAAAAAATGTTGAAATGGCAAAATATTTTTTATATAAGCCATATAACTGGTTTTTATATAATTTATGTTCTAAAATATATCAAAACGGTAGGGACAACTTTACATTTAATAAATTGAACCAAAATGTCTTAAATTTTTAATGGCTTCTATATAATTTGCCATGGATTACTCAATTTTGTTATTGATTCAAAGCAATTTGCACGTTTATGAATGCTATAATGAGAAAAAAAAAGAATATATATATATAGCTTCTTGGAAAAGTTTAGCAACCAAATATAAATGTCAAAGTAGTCTATATTGATTAATTAAGTATATATTCTGGATAAACAGATTTAATTGCTTTTCTTTACAGTGTCTCGATTATCTTTCCATGATAAAGTACACGATCCATTTTTACATTCCTTTATTAAATCCGGACATGGCTCATCCCCTTTGGCCTCTTTTCCTTTATTCCTTAATTGCCACCATTTGATCAATAATGGTTGTATGAGAAATCTCCATATTATCAGAAATATAGGAACAGCAAAGCACGGTACACACACCATTCTGTGCGTATATATAACTTATTTTGTAATCTAAAATTATACATGCAAAAGCATATTTTATTATTTCAACAGAAAACAAAATAAAAACATTCGCCTTAGAGAATGATATTATACAATTTTGATTAAGATCAATTTATTTTGTTCTTTTTTTTTACCTTTATGCATATTTTACATCTCGAAAAAAAGTGATTCTTACCTCAGATGACGGGCAAAAGCAATACTATATCCAGTCTCCACGGAATAATTGAGCGAATGTAAACGAGATCGATATAAGAATAATGTGCGCTTTGTATATCACTCACTTTGTGTATCATCGACACTTGGATGTTCTTGATGCGAAAAATATATCAGTCTAAACGCCAGATTGTCAATATGTCAGTTCGCGCTGTTGCTTTTATCAGCACCGTTAATATATTCGTAATCGTGATACGAAGATCATACGTTTCGATACGTTTACGCAAACACTGTCCTTTCCTGACGTTTTACCACTATCTTCTATCTTTACTGTTACTTACTGAGCCCGATTAGACTAGGTTGGACGGTTAGACCAGTGTTAATTTAATGCGCATGCGCGCATAAATTATCTGCTACACAAGGAGTTTTTCAGTAAGAAAACATAGATAGATATATTGTCATGCAATTGTCCATAGGATTTTTAAAGTCCTGAATTTTTTTTTTTTTTATTTGAACTGCTTTGATTTAGATAGTCAAAGGCTAATTGATGTATGACATTCTTGCTGAAAAACTTCCATAGATATCGGTTTTTCTTTATCGCGCGATATCAATCGTTACCACGTCTTTTTGTAAATCTAATTATTTATATTTAGCATGATCGTAATGCTATACCATCTCTGGTATTTATTAATTATACATAAGGACATGGTCACAGCCATTCATTGCGAGATTACATAATCTCTTTCTACATAAGGTACTGAAATAGATATGCACATAGAGAATATTTGTATCACAAAATGTCTGTGGTAAAAGCTACCAAAATATTTCGTAGAATATTCTAGACATTAAAATATGATGTATTGCGCATTCAAGTGTCACCCAAGATTGTTCGCAGAATTCTACGATCGGCTCCAGTTTAGTAAAGGAAAAACTATAAGCACCAGGTGCTGCGAATGATCGTGGGCGTAACATGGAATCAAACAGAACGCTCCCGCGCAATTTTAAGAAGGGATATATCCGGATGAGATAAATCTTTGACTCTTAAATGCTTCCAAACATTTTACGACCTCTCGTTATGCATAATGAAACAACGATGACGCTTAATACGAAGAAAATTAAAGCGAAGAGAGTGATAAAGGCTCTGCACCATTGCCGTTTCCGTTTCGCTTTTGCGATTGTTCGATTTAAACGTTCGGCACGCGTTACGTCGAGAGTGAAATCCAAGTCCTTTTCTAAGCCTTTAACGGCTAAGCGACGATTCCAATCATTGGACGAGGCGATCGTTTCTTCGCTAGACGAGCCAATGTCGCTGTAATCCAACTGCTGGAACATATTGTACTTTTATATAGTGCAAATATACACTCATAAATGTCAATTTACAAAATCATACGCATCAACTACTCGGATAACAAACTTTGAGATCTTTTTCTTTTACAAAGTTGTGGCGATCGAGCATCATTATTGAGTACTCACTGTTGAATATTTTGATTCGGTCGAGGTGAGTCCGTTTTGGCATTGCTTATCTTTGTCTAATCCAAACGATAGTTTCGCACAACCACTTCTAACATGTTTGTCATTTAGGTATTTAAAGACGTATGGACCACTGGACGTTTCGCAAAATTCCCTTTCTGCGTTTTCGCGTCTCGTTATCTTATCATTTTTAAGCAACAACGCGGATCGCATCGAATTATTTTCGTAGAAAGCGCGAGGACCAACGTATAATTTAGAATGGACAGAATTTGCTCTCGGCGGCACGTGCTTGATGTAACTTGGCGATACCGATAGATTGTCGTCATTGAAAGTCCAAGAAGGGCAAACGCATTCGTATAAGTTGTCGCTTCTTGGATCGATCTCGAGAGAAACGATACGCGAGATATCGCGCAAGATATCTTGCGGTGCCACAGCAATGTCACCGTCTATCATAGAATTAAGAGTTCGAGATAATTCGAGCAGCATCTCGCGCGCTGATGCTCTCAGCGGTGATGATGCCGACGGTGACGACGGCGGCGAATAGCTACACGTGCAACCACAGACGCGACACGTGTAGATGCCTGTTGGAAAGAAAGGATATTTTGATGATGTTTCTGAAATTCGGAAGAAAGTAAAATCGCCGCTTTTATTCACCTTCATAATCGATATTTTCGGCCTGATAACATGCGACGAAAGGCCAAATGGGTTGCGGTACACAAGCTGTTTCGCTCTCGTGAATCACGGCTAGACCACCGTACGACAGATCTCTCGTCGACGTTGACGCGCGATAAGAGCACGAACCGACTGATAACAGCGGAGAGTGACTCGAGTAGCCAGAGCTGATGGATGTTTTGTAACATCTTCTCGCATTAACTCGCTGATTGTGAGTTGTAGCTGCTGACTTGCCCCCTATGATGCCATTTACGAATTTAGAGATCTCACCCAAGTCTGACCTTATCCTGAAACATGATTTTATCGAATATATATTGTAGTAAGTAGGTACATATATGATGATGAAGAAGGTGTAAAAGAACGATAAAAAAATGTATTATTTCTTATCTTTTTACATTTGTTTCAAAGATCCTAAGAATAATATATTGGTATAACGGCTCCTACCATTCGATTCCATACGGCTCGACTGTAGGCGACACGGCGTAAGCGCCTTTTTCTGTACCATCGCAATTGATCCTGGAATCGCGCGGAATCGCCGCTCGAACGCCGGCACTCGAATGCATCCCCCGATTGCATTCGACGGCGTCCGATGACGCACAGGGCGCTACCGCATAGAGGTTCGTTCAAGACCGGTAACCATCGTTGCATGCTCGAACAGCTGCTCTCTTGTCATCGACAAATCTCGTAGCCTTTTCCTGAAAGCCATATGGATCAATATCGCGATCTCTTTACTTTTTTTTTATATCGAAACTCTTTATAGATTTTATATCTTTCATTGCGGACATTTATATATATCGCCAGTACCTTATTGTTAGTTATGAATGTACGCGAATTCGACGGATGAGCCACATTTCAAGGTCGCTTTCACATTCGCGTTACGTTCACGGCCGACATAAACCGCCTATTACGTTATTTGTCGGAGGTACTGGACGAAGAAACATTAATGTAGATCATTCTCTTCATTTTTTTTTTTTTTTTTCAAGTTTACACTATATCGATGAAAAAATTTACCAATTTTATTCACGACATTATCGAATACTTTTGTACAAATAAGTTATTTCTTTTTTTAGTTTCTAAAATTTCGTCAAGGAGAAACATGTGCGAGAAGAAAGAGAAAGTGAGGTACGCGCGCACGCATTTTCGAATTAGGTCAACTTGAATATTGGAAAATGTCCTTTATATTTGTTATACGTTATAAATTCCGCTATACGTGTATGTGTTACAATATTAAATTACCCACTCTCCTCATTTTTGATTTGTCAAAATTACGACTTCTCCGTCATTGAAATTGGCCAAATCGCAAATTCATATCTGGTGTATACTTCTGTTAAATATTTACTTCAAAAAAAATATAGCTACAAAACATTATTAAACTTATATAATTATAATTCATGGATCAACGTGCATGCTGCAACATGAGAGAGAAAGAGAGGGAGAGAGAGAGAGAGAGAGAGAGAGCGCGTCGTACATTCCATCATCAATTATTGCCAGCCGCCCAGCCAACTACTTTCACCTCGGCAAAGTACGTTCGTCTCAATGTTTACATATTACACCGCGTACGGAATGATCGGCTGACGTTATAAAAGCTCCGCATGAAGAAAGAGCGATCTTTCCACAAAACTCAGAGTGATCGTGACCGACATGAGAGAGAAAGAGAAAGAGAGAGAGAGAGAGAGAGAGAGAGAGAGAGAGAGAGAGCGCGTCGTACATTCCATCATCAATTATTGCCAGCCGCCCAGCCAACTACTTTCACCTCGGCAAAGTACGTTCGTCTCAATGTTTACATATTACACCGCGTACGGAATGATCGGCTGACGTTATAAAAGCTCCGCATGAAGAAAGAGCGATCTTTCCACAAAACTCAGAGTGATCGTGACCGCGATTGACATCACGATCCTCAACAATGCATTATTTAGAAAATAATTTCTCTCTACATTTATTTTTGGCTCTTGGATAATTTTGCGATCCGATGGCACGCGACTATATTCGTGAATTCTAAAAGTTAAAAACATGTATCCACTTTTTTTTTCTTTATACACATATATCGCGTATAACGCAGATCGTAATTTTCTGTATAAATCTTAAAAGATGAATCAAAAATTAATGTCAAAGATATATATATATATACGGGAATTACGAATGCACATCTCTCAACATCGAGCTCTTGACGAGCATTGCGGAAGAGAAATATATATACAATGAAGCGTTTCTTCCTTGTGAAGTTACGGCAATTATGTGTATATAAGATAGATATATACGCAGGCACGCACAACGTAACGAGCAACGAAACGAAATCGCGAAAAATATTTAACTTACAGACTTTCACTCGCACTCATTCAGGGGCGTCGACGGAAAATAATCATCGTCGATCATCATATATTATACCGCTTGTTTTTGAGTTTATTCGATTAAATGTTTGATAGAGATATCACATTTATAATCACTTTCACGGCAAAAGTTTTGCGAATAAAATATTTCTAATCTGGTAGATTCTTAAACGAAAGGCCGTTGATTTGTCTCGCGCATCGCGCGTCAATTCGCAGGTATTTAATATTCGCGAACCTATTGCGAAACAAAGTATTTGACATTCAAAGTCGGCACTTTTGTTCGCGGGTGATACTTAATTTGCAATAAATCCAAATACTCAAGAAAGAAGAAACGCGACGTCGATCATGATTTGCGATGTTCCGCGACGTACTTTCGGAGCAAAAATAATCAAAATTTATATTAGAATATAAAAAGCACGAACATAATGATGAACATATTTATGCTATTATCGATTTTAAATAATTTTCACAAAATACAAAGAGATTCCTTAACTTGCGGCAATATTGTTGCAAATAAAAATTAATATAATTATTAGACGAAAGATATTGCCTTGCTCATTATAGAATATATTTCTCTCTCGCGATGCAGCTAAAAAAATGTGCAATAATCGTCATTTCAAATACGCGGAAAAAGAAGATTACTATGATAAATAATTTTATAGATGCTTTCCATTTTGTAATACAAGTCGACACAAATGTCACTAAAAATGACATCAATGGATATATCTATTCTGCTTTTCTCCTCGCCCTTCTTATTTTTCTCTTTCTCTCTTGCTTTACATCTCGGTATTCAATTGTATTCACCTCCGTGGAGGATGCGCGCAAGGAAGTATTACATACATGAACGGTAAACTTTCTACACGCGCATCGTGTCGATCACACATTCGCTGACGATGCACTCATGGCGATTCAAAAGAAACTGAAAGACTCCACTCAAGTCAGGACTCAGGACGTCAGGAGGCGATCAGCGATCACTCGATCAGCTGCGCGATACTACTGACAACTGACAATGAGACCGACTGAGACGTGAGAGCTGAGACCGTCTTCTCTCTTCTCGATTATTTCGTGGGGGTCGTATCCTGTTGATCATCTCTCTCTTATCCTCTTTCTGTCGCGTGCATTTCATCTTCCTTTTCCTTCCTATGTATTTATTAATTACTTTCTTCTCGTTACACTTATATTCCTAATCTATTTATAGTTTCGCACATTTTTTTCACACCGTTTACCGATTATTAAATAACGACATGTGAAAAATTTGATCGAAATTTCTTTTTTATCTTAAACATATATAAGAATATAAATGTTTTAAAAAAAGATAATTTAAAACAATATTATTTACCTTTATTTTCAATAACTCTTGCAAATTTTCAAATTTCTATTTTTTGAGTTCACATTTGTCCACATTGGCTGGATACTGGGTTCCGTAAAGCGCATAGCGCATATGCTCGCGTGTATCTATAGCATGCGTTATGTATATATAGATACGTGTGCGCAGTGCGCAAATGGTGCGCTTTACGAAACCCAGACATTTATCCCTAAATAAGTTTATTCAAATTTTCATAATACGAGTTTGTCGGATTGGCTATCGGATAGAGAATTTCTAGAGCTTTAAAAGTTTTTTTGCGGTAACAGCCAATCAGCATGTTTCGATAAAGCTTGTTTACCAAACGAGGTATTACCCTCAGGATAGTTTGACGCTCTATCTTCATTGATATATTCGTGACAATCTGACGTATGTTCGTTTTGCGAGAGACGTCAAAGTTCATAACGTGTTTTACCTTTACCTGTTTGAATCGAAATTATTAAAATATAGAGATTAGTGATTTTTGCGCGTACACTTTTCTCGAGTATAAATAACCTATTATAACTCTTTTATTGTTGTGATAACAATGACATATTTGAGTTCATGGGAAGAATTCGAAAAAGGCGCTGAAAGGTTATATCTACACGATCCGATAAACGTATGTTTCTTTACAGTTATATATTATCATATGTTCATCATGTTATATCGTTTTTGATACCGTGTATATTTTGATATACGATATAGAATAATAACACGCAATTAGATTATCTCTACCATTTGAGATTAATATAAACTGAATTGAATTTGTAATAAATTATCATTTACCGTAAATTGTACATTAAGGATTAACTATAATTAATATCAAGAAAAGTAGATGCAAACAATCCTCTCTTTTAGAGAGCTTTTATTATTAATTATGTGTGTATTTGTATTATTATATAAACTCGAAATATTTACTGCCTAAGATTATTTCAACGTTTCTTTCATTATTAATTGCTTATCTTGTAGTGAGAATTGCAAACAAAAGAAGGAAAAAAGATAGTACACTACTATATTATACAATACTATATGATATATACCACTTATATAATAAATTAAACCATTGTCTGCAAATCTGAATAATGTTGTTAAATCTAATAATTTTCTTTATAGTACATTATATTAACTTATTCTTTTTCACCTTGTTTCAGACTCGGTATACAATGAAATATTGTCACAATAAAGGACTTTTATGTTTAAAATTAACAGACAATCGACGGGTAAGTAATTTACAAACATATCTTACGAGATATAAGAATATAAGCTTAAATTAATTAAGAGCACAATATTGTTACTAACACTAGCAATTAAATTTGCTTGCAGTGTCTCCAATATAGAACAGAAATAGCTCAAGACTTAAAAAAAATGGAAAAATTTATAGGCAATCTCATGAGACATATGGCATCGAAAGATAGTTAAATAAGCAAGGCTTATGTATAGAAATATGTTGATCATTGAGTATATATCAAAACATAATTTTATTTAATAAAGTTTTTCTCTCGTTTCGTAAGATTTAACAACTGCACGGTCCATGGAGAGATATTAAATCTGTTTTAGGTACGAAACTTTCTTAAATATACAACATATGATAAATGTGAAACTGCTTTATTTTGTATTAAAGTTTTGTGATTATTGTGGATGGTTCCGTTGCCTCCTCGTTAAAGTTCTGAAACAATGGAATTTATAAATTAAACTTGAAACGATACTATAGAAAAACTATACTGTATAGAGAGGATACTTTCCTCTCTCTTTATGCTTAAAATATTGATTTTTTAAAAATTTATCGATATCGTTATGATATCTATCGAAAAATTACATTATAACTATATTTCGTACTTAATTTGTTAGATATTAATAAAGCCAGATTTAAAACAAATGGAAATTTGATTTAATGATCACAGAGATAATATCGAATAAGAAAGAAGCACAAAGTAAGCACTTACGATATAATGGGTTGAAGAACAGCATCCAAAGTAATATCAATAGGAGGGTAGATTTCTTGATTTGAAGGCAGTTCATAGAGTACCTCTCCCCCTAATTGCATTTGTGTCTATACCAAACAAAACTGTTTTACTAATTTACTATTTAGAAAATAGTGTAATTCCATACATTTATAAAATAAAGATATATGTAATTACTAGCATGCATACGAAAATTGTACCATTGGAAAGGATATGCACGATTTTCTAATGCCGATATCATAATATTTTATAATGTAATTCAAAATTTGTATAAAATTAGTAGAAGATGAAAGTAGGGATCTCTAAAAATCATGCATTTTTATTTGTAAAAATGTTTAATGTTTTTTTCTTTCATAAGATCATTTATATAAAGAATTAATATCAAAAATTTTTGTTTTAAAAGTAACAAGTACAAATTATGTAAAATAACAATTTGTGCTTACTCTTTCAATGTTTAGCATTCATAAATGCCTAATTTATATATGAACAAAGTAAAACACATTTTGTTTGATTGTTGTCTACTTTGAAACGGGTATTAGCAAAGATGATAAATAATATAATAGATAAAAGATACAAACAGATTAGAAAATACATACTATGTGAATAGGTTTATTGCTGTCTGCAGAACTCGAGCGGCAGCTTGAAAAGTCCTGCGGTGTGCTCTCCCCGAGTCCACTGTCTGTATTATTCGCTATTGACACTCTGTTGTTACGAGTATAATAAAAATCCCTCTTGGTGTTACATTCGTTTCGAATTCCGGGAGATTTTGCCCCGACTCGATTGGATGTTGCGGACAGTAAATTATAAGCACGTCCATCATGATTATGCCGCACGATTCTTCTTTCTCTTTTGCCAATGGATCCAATAGTTCTGAAAGGGAATCCTTGACAATCTGTCACCTCGTTTTAACTTGATCGTTTTCATCTAGTCGTTTTAACAATTAGCAGATCCATAGATCGTAGATTTGACTTTTTCAAATCAATGCGTCTCTCTTTTTTTCTCTTTGTTTTTGAGTACATACAATTAATATACATACATTGGCTGTTCTTACGCATTATGAAATTTAATGTATATAAATTCAGAATTCCATTAATCCATTTGTTTCTTTGTAAATCGCATTGTGGCGCATTTTAAAGCGTAATTTTTTGAAAATTTGAAGAGACACAATGGAAAATGCACAAAATGCGTCTGGGACATGTAGGAATCGAAATGGGATCGAGGAATGTCATAAGAAAGACTCGGAGCATAAAGTGTTCTGAATCTTGAACATTGACATCGTCAATCCTCCCAGATACCAATATTTATTACACAAATACATGGCGCATACCATATAATATATACCATATATGAATGAGAAATAAAACACACACACGAATAATTATTACGACCCCAGAACGAAAGGCGCGCATCGCCTATGAAATTCCACGGAACACAGCCAGAAGCGAATGAGTGCCAGCTAGGATGTAAAAATAAACAAGTGCGACAAGCAGTTAATTTTACATATTTATTAAGGATTCATCATGCTTTAAATAAATAATAGGGGCATGCTTAAAGTAGATAATATACACATGCTCGAAATAAATAAAAAATACATGCAAAAAGAGATCGGAGATAACTAAACAATGACTACGGATCCAGTTTCATCCTCCAATTGCGGAGGATGGTTATGGAGGTTGCAGGCCGTCTTGAGATCATCGTACCTAGGTAGGGACGATGAATCTGTGTCGTCCAATCGAGAATTGTTAGATGGTAGAGGAGATTGTTGTACAGACTGCGACTGTACCACCGTGTAGGATATCTCTCGACGTTGCTGCTCACTCATCCCACTAGTATCGACTAGGCCAAATTCCAAGTGTCTACAAAAAGAATATGTTATACATATTTTTAATATCTTTTACACGGCATATTTCAATAAATTGTTATAATTTATTAAAGTGGAAAGAAATGGAATAGCAAGAATATAATTTGTTTAGTAAGCTCAAATTGCAGTTTGTATTTTGCGTAGAAAAAAATCTATAAATTGTTTTGCACCCTGTATCAAATATATTGTGAAATTATGATATTGTAACATTCGTAAAATTTTATGTATGTATGTATACTTTCGAAGTTCATCCGGCAGTGACTGTTTTTGGGAAGGACTTCGATGTCTGCTTCTATGTCTTCTTCTAGGCTCTGTATGACTTACCTATAATATATTAATTGAAAGTTAAATATTACAAACAAAATAATTTCGATAAAGACCGAATACTTACGATAGCTTTTTGCACGCCTTCTCCTTTTCGTTTTTGCGCTTCTCTCCATTGTGGCTCCGAATCTACCAATTCGTGTCTGCTGTGAATAATAACATGTCAGATTGAATTAATATTTTTTGATATTCGAATTATTATATCGCGAAGGATATATGAATAATCGTATGGAGCGTGGAATAATTATTGTAAAAGAAGTTTTATTTGTGAAGAAATTTATGTAAAATAAGTAAATTCGATGTTAACGAAGGTCGATGAACTCTATCGTTGATGGGAACGGGAAGACTCATTATCATCAAACTGCTTTAATTATACCCTGATGCTTATAAGGGATCGTGATTTGAATTTATCAAGAAGGTGAATACATACTTTGAGAAACAATTATGAGAACGAGATATTATCGCGATGAGAGCGAACAAAATGCAATGTAACTAAGAATAGTTAAAAATACCTGGAACGGGAATTCCTGTGTTTTCTACGATGTTTCCGGTGGCCGGATCTTGTGTCCGAACATCTCGAGAGCTCAGACTCGCAGTCAGAATGTCTACTGTGTCGACGGTGACTATGACTATGACTTCTTCTACGGTGACCACCGCGACTATGACTATCTCCTGAGCTTTGACTCTCTACCGAACTGCTGCGACGTTGAAGTCTACTTAAGAGCTACATTATGAGAAACAATATTTAATAGATTATTCAAATGTGTGTATATTTAGAAATTTTATAATATAACATATAATACAGATATACTTGATCCGTCAACGTCAGAGTTGAAGCGATTTTTTTTCCATATATTATAATATACATATACTACAATCATATATATATATACGCGCACGCTCATACATTTCTATATGCGTGAGTAATATTAGCGATCATCTCTGCGACGGGTTAAGCAGAATATAATATATCAACTAACTGCCGGCGCCGTTCCTGCGGAGCGAACCGAGCGAGGACTAGACGAGGTGTAAAGACCACGGGGTTGACTCTGCGTCCACGGTGCACTTCTCGTGCTTCTCGGACTCGAGGTGTTCATCTGCCTTTGCGTATTGCACGGAACATTACCACTGGATGAATTACAACCTGGATTCGTGATTACGGCGACGGGTGTTTCGATGAATGATCCGACCATTTCTTGACCTTCCACAACTCGTCTTTGTGCTCTCCGACTGGGAGTTCTTTGAAACGGAGGTGGATTTCGTCTAATAGCTGTATGTTTCTCCAAAGTGGACGGAGGACTGTATGAATGAAAACGAGAATACGGACTCAGAGGCGGTGGACCGGTTGCCATTAATCGGAAAAAAGCTTGATGCTCCAAGCAACATTTCCAGAGATGACGGCAGGCCCCTTTCGATGGTGTCTCGAAACCGTGTGTTCTTTCCTCGGAATTTTTTTCACTCACCCTCAGCATGAAATATCTACCCTGGAAGTTGGTAATTCTTGTTTCGATTTATCGTGGAAAAGTGCTTAGTGAGGTTGTATAATATTACATTCTTAAGCGTTTCACTGTGTTGTTTTCACAATCTAGACAATATTTCAAAAATTTATACTAAACTGGAAGAAAAAAATTTATCGTGGAAAAGTGCTTAGTGAGGTTGTATAATATTACATTCTTATAAGCGTTTCGCTGTGTTGTTTTCACAATCTAGACAATATTTAAAAAATTTATACTAAACTGGAAGAAGAAAAAAAATTGTAGCCAGCTAACAACATTGTAATAAATTATATACCTTATAGTAGATTTTATTAATTCGAGGCCAATAGTAATTTCCTACTTTGGTTTTGTTGCGTAGCAATATTATTCCGCTCGGTGTTAGGCCCAAAAAATATTCCACGCTATCTTCGCCCTACGAATAAAAATTATATGTTGTTGCGAAATTAACACTAGTGACCGCGCGCAGCGTTGATCTTATCAATACGCCTACGCACCAACACAGGATGTAAATCTACCCCATACATTTCCAACCACTTTACTTTATCCAGATAATTTAATTCTGCCGCCGAGGGTAATTGTCCTCTGAAAAAAATCATGATTATGTATTTTATCTAAATCATTTTAATATTTTCATAACGCTTTATATTGATGAAATCTCTCTTTTTATGTAATTATTAAACAACACGATACACCATAACATACATAAGAGTTTTATGGATTTCTACTATACGATTCTCCAGTTCCGTAGTTTGATTGGCGAGGAACCGAAATTCCGTGACATATCCAGGCGAGTGTCGTCTAGGATCATAATCACCAAGTTCCGCTGAAAGAATAGACGATTATTGCGGGATGGATAAAAAAGAAATTATTTCTATCGTGTATATGAGGAATTTATATAGTATCTCTTCCTGTTTCTTTTCTTTTTCTTCCTTCTCCAATTTTCTTATACAACGTATGTACATCGATTTAAGTTTTGTTCAAAATTAACAATAGATTTTTAAAAAGAATCAGTTTATGTTTATTGTTATGAGAAATATATATATAGCTATAGAAAATGATCGTAAAAATATTGTGAAAAGCATAATTTGATTGTTATAATGGTTATTACGAGAAAAAGAGAAACACTCTCTTTTCAATGGTTTTTAAACCCTGCTATATTTCCCATATTTTCTATTTGCGTCTGTTCTTTTTCGTATACTATGCTCCTTTCGCAGTATACGCGTATTATCGTTGAATAGGAAGAAGGGATATTCATTTCGTCTCTTTTGACTGCGATGAGATGCAAACACGAGCGTATTTTAGTTTGCCTTTCCTTTTTTTTATCTGTGCAACTTTGAATCTCCCCATCAGATAACTAACGTGTGGACCACCGTCCGTGTATCTGTTTGCTCGCGTTCACCTGTATCTTGCTACACACAGAGTGCATATGTACACAAGTTTCGTATTCGCTATATTCTCTACGAACGGTCTGTCCTTTTGCATGATTTTAATGCTTTATTCGTTTTCTTCATAAGACAAACTAGACGACCGACGTTTAAGCGCACAGTGTGCACAAGAAATAATAAGCAACATGCGTCTGTGATGGATATATTTTTTTCGATATAGAATATATCTTACATTGAACAACGTAGGCTCCCAATTCCGCAACTAAATCAAAGGATACGGGCAGTCTTCCCTGTAGAATATCTTGCTTGATTTGTAGGAAAAACTGGTATCTGTAGGACAAGTCAACAGAAACGATATACGTTTTATTATAATAAAGGTCTTGAAAATTTTAAATGGGATCGAATGTATATATACCGGGACACATTGAAACGGAAAATATAATTTTTATTCATGTGATAATTTCTTTCGTTGTTCGTTATAGAAAATGTGAGAATTTAATATTAAAATTGAATTAAACACGAACGCGTACGAGATAACGCCGCGAAAGCTGATACGAGACACGCGTACATACGTATATGTATGCATGTACGCCGGGCGCGTTTCAACAAATTCGACGCACGTGGAATTCTCGTGCGTCCGCAACGTAACGTCCCTGGAATTTCCTAGAACTTCGAAGACATCAAGCGTGAAAGAATCGTTCACAAGAGCGTGACATCGAATGAAGATTGTCCGCATATTATCCACACTATATCGTGCGCGTTCAAACCAACATTTTTCAATCTTCTTTTCTCTCATTATTTAAAAAAATTTTAAATATACGATTAAACAATTGAAATTTTATTTGAAAAAACGCACAAAAATTTATTAATCGGTTTTAAGCCTCCTGATAATAGTCATATTACATTATGATGTCAGAAGCGAGTAACTGTATGGATCTATTTCTTGCATTGAAATAAATAGTTTGTTTTTTATAATATGGATGAGTAAAAAAAAAATATACTGAAAACTTTTTTTATTATCCTACATTAATAAGCTCATATATAACTCAATCAATCCGCATGTATCCAATATTTTTAGCGAAAATAAATCTTATGTTGATTATTGATCAAAATTTACAATTATTTATTAATCGACAAACTGAAAAGAGACGGTTTTCAGGATATAATTTATCAATTTATATTATCGAACATAAATAGCATACAAACTAATTTATTTCAATGTATTTCATAAGAAAAAAATTTATTGCTTTCGACGTAATAATTAAACATGTATGAGATTAGTGAAAAACCAGGAATTTTAACAATGAGTTGTACAGAAATGATATAAATTATGAGTAATTGCGTTATAGGATATACTTTTGCGTGGAAGAGATTTTGAAAAGAATTATATATTCAAACATACATAGAAGCGTATACGTTATCGAATAAAGATAAAGATATATACCTGGTAATCTCTTCAATGAGTTTACACGGATCTGCCGCGTAGAATTTAACTCCAAAGTAGAGAGTGTGAACATCCGATCCAGGATCTCCTTTATGAACCTTCAATTGTTTACCGAGCTTTTTGCTTTGATCGAGCCATTGCTAGAAAAGAAAAACGCGCGAATATATTATGTAATTACTTGTAACAAATCATGATTTAAAATTTAAACAATTTTAACAATTATGCACTAAAACTTGATACTGTTCTTTGACATTAAATTACATGATTATTAAGAGCAATTTGTTATATAACGTAGAAATTAAATAGATTATATCTTACCGTTTGATTTCCGTGATCAAGATAGCGTAATCCAAAATAAGAAGTTTCCAGTAAGTTAAGATGCTTGAATACTCTATCCAACAGTTCTTGACCTAGGTTCGAGCTCTGGAAAACGTACATATATTTATTATATCAAAATTGAACGCGTATATACAGCGATAATTAAATTAATAAATTTTCTTCGATTTTGTATATTTGCGAGAAGCATCTATGTACTAACTATACTATAGTGAACCGGCAAGATTGAAATTGAGAGGGACGGTTTCCCACTGGTGTTACGAACCGTGACGCGTTGTTTGTTCCCCCGAGAAAAACTAACGGAATCTTTAGGTAAACGCTCATATCGTTAAATTTTATACCCATATTATTATCTTTGTCTGTTCGCGATTTACGCGCGTTATCGGTATGGTGGCGAAAAGAATATAAATTTAATGTTAATATTTTGCATAATAAAACTAATTTCTCTCTCTCTCTCTCTCTCTCTTTATATCAATTTTTCTCAATCTTTCTATCTATTTATCTCTTCGACTCATATATATGATATGAAACTAAAGATTTTATATAGCGAAGCAATCGATAAAACTTGGGCCGAATCAATGTATAAGTGAAAGGGAACACAAAATATATACGTAATATAACGAAAGACACTTAAAATACAGCAAGAAATTGTCGAAGCGGGTGAAGAAGTGGAGGAAGAAAAGAAGAGAATAAAAGATCTCGCCCTTTTTCTTTCGCCTAAGGCCTAGAAGAGTCGAGTATAGGTTCAGGAGATGGGTAATCATCTCCAACTTGCGTGTTTCGAACGATCCTTCCCTTTTTTTTTCTTTCTCCTTCTTTCCTTTTTCCATCGGTTATTCAGATGATTTCTCTTTCATTTCTCATACATGGTATAATTTAAACATTTATTTAGGCATTCTAATCTTTCCTGGCCATAGCTCGTTGTGGGAATCCAAGTATCGTAGCATGGATTGACTGATTGTTGTAAGGTAGTTTTAAAGAGAGAGAGAGAGAGAGAGAGAAAGAGAGAGAAAAATTCGAACGAATCGTTCACTGGGCCATATATGGTCGTAAAGTTTGACGTTCATGATTAAAAATGTAGAAATGAACAGATTAAAAGTGTATAAATGAAAAAGAGAGCAGAAAATATCATTTCAACGATAGAGGAGGATATGCGAAAATATATATATATATATTATTATGAAAAATAAAAAGAACGTCCTTGGCTAATGGATACGAAGAAAGAAAAGAATGATTGGTGAGCTTCGCGGCGGAAACTAGCCAACATCGTTGCTTCATATTTTATCGGAGATTCGTTCTTGCCTTTAGGTATCGTGACTAGATATGGTAACATCAATGTGAAAAGTAGAAGCAACGCAAGAAAAAGAAAAAAAACTTTGGTGAATATCGCCCGCAGCGGATGCTGAGCGCCATTTGTGTAATTGGACGTCAAGCGAAGAAGAGGTAATCAGAGGTAATCAGAAAGGTATGAAGCGGTAACGTTAAAGCGGAAATTCAAAAAAGTTCGAATGCCAATGAGTAGCTTGTCTCTCTTTGGTTTTCGCGTTTTTACTTTCGCTTTACTTTTACTCGCTCGCCGATTAATACAGCTCAGCGAGTCGTTTTGCTAAGAATACAAATAAAATATCTTATAATATATCGTATATATAATGTTGACAATTTGTAGAAAGTTTGATTGTCTTAATTCGTATCGCATATGTCCAGCAAATGTGTATCGAGATATCTGGATTCGCTCTTTTCTTAAACAATAATTGTGATCGGTGTTCACTCTCAAACTATTATACTCCGTACGCGGTTGCAGGCTCAATGCTTTACGGCAATTTTATATATTGAAATTGCACCGTTGCAAAATAAAATGATGTACAGAAAGATGTAGGTATATCGGAGAGATTCTACTGGAAAAGAGTTACTCGTTTATCCGGTCGCACTATCTTGACGCATAGTCATTCTTTCGCGCTGTTACACTGCAATTACGAGAGACTGGTTCTACGAGACTGACGGTATAAATCTGAGAAAATACGGATTTCAATACTGCGGTGGCAAGATATTGCCTACAAATATCGCACTTGTAATCATCAACGATCATTTCTTTTCTTGCATTTCTCGATTATATCTTTAATACTATCTTTAATACGATGATTCTTTCTTGTACATTATTTTTTATTCCATTAGGGCATATTAGTGTTTCTGTAATGATTAATGATTACCTTTTACAAGTTTTACAGGTCTTTCAGAATAATATTGTGTAAAAGTTAAAAAATAATGAGAGAGAGAAAAGGGGGAAAGAAAGTGAGAAGGTGGATTTCCTTCTTTGCGAATACATAATCTCGTGTTTAACGCTCGACTGAATTTCGACTTAGAGGCATAGAGGCTTACGTTGTACATATAGACACATACAATGAAGAATTATACGTTCTTATACAGGTTCGGAATGTTAATCGACAAAATGAGTCGGACGATGAGAGAGAAGCGGAGAGGATGGAGAAAGAGAGCGCGCAACGCGAGAGTGATTCCGAGAGGAAGAAAAAAAGAGAGAGAGAGAAAAAGAGAACGGGTAGGTAGGTTGAAAAGACGCGGGAATTAGTGTGCGGCTTGGCCATCGGCAATGCGGAGGAGGTAAGGCGGCGTTGTCTACGGTGGCCCACCGCCAATTTTGGCATATCGTCTAATAACAGAGAAGAAGACGAAAGGAATTCTCCGGGTGTACCCCCTCTAAGAGATATGTACGCGCCTTCTCTCATGCGAAACCGCACAGTCGACCATAACCCACCATAGCCGCCGGGCACGAGTATATAGTCCGGTACCGAAACAACCATCTAGAAACGAGCTGGGAAAGAAAATGCTATTAATCCGCTAAATTATAACTTGGCTAATATGACGTACGAGAATTACGGTAGGATGATACGGCGCCGTTCATATGAATTTCTATTCTATTGGAACTGGATTTTGCGAAAAATAAAAGAGACCAATGGATTTGGCCAAACTTACCAAGACGTCTTGTAACAATTCGTGCTCGTCCAGAAGTATCACTTTACAGTGTAAAAGACGAGGCCTGTTGCTCCTGGTCGGCCTGAGTCCAGGGCATAGCCACTCCACCACCATCGCTTTCCTCCTTCCTCGATCCCTTTGTATCCCTATTGCCTGGCTCGCGCACGTTTATCCGCTCGATGCGTTTGCGCTCATCCTGAGATTACATTGCGACGTTTTTATTGTTAATCGCTGCAAAAAATTATTCTGTGCGTTTCTCTTTATTCCTTGTTACCGAAGTCACACACTCTTTATACGTATAATACCGCTGTTACTAACAAAAGTGTATTAACAATAACAGTTGTCACAACACGCAATGTCAACCAGACATTTATCGATGGAAAAATCGTGCACAAGAAGATGGGGGCAAAGGGTTGTGAAAATAAACTCTGTCATCAAAATTGCGATCGCGAGTCTAGAGTCCCGAAATGATTTTCCGCACGGCGTTAATTCCATGACAGGTGAAGAATATCAAACTGTCATAAATATGTATAGCGGTAATCGACTTGCTTGGTATCCGCTTCTACCGTTACTTTATACATGGTTCCCGCTTGAATCAAACAATCTGTAATAGACATAGGCTAACCAGCAAAGTCACAGTAGCAGGTCTGATTTATAACTTTTTAACGTATGCGTAAGTAGCTGTAAAAAGATGCTTTATAGTTACAATAGATGTGTTAAAAAGTTACGAAATATGCCTGCTAATTTTGATTTCGATCGTTTTAACCGTTATGCGTTAATAATACGAGACGTCTTGTGAAAATGATTTTGAATTGAAAAAATATAAATACCTGATCGAGAAATTTTGGCAAAGCTTCGCCAAGTTCTTATTCTCGTTGTATAGAAGAAATATTCTTATCACGCGGAGAGAGGAATCTTTCAAATCGTTATATTCGCAAATGTAGCATTGCCGCCAGACAGAGTGAGAATTCAAGTACACCTTTTGTCCTCGCGTATGCGTCGCTTGAGAAAAATGTCTGTACAATGTCTGTGGCCCAAGTGGCGAATGCCATTGAACTCGGAGAACGAGCGGGAGTGTAGTCCGTGTGTGGAACAGGTTTCGAATCCAGAATCTCAATTGCATTTGACATAGAAAAAATAATAGAGAAACTGATCGACACATTGGCAATTTACGACTAACGGGAACATCGTTCTAATGAAGGGGGGGGGGAAGCAAAAAAGCAAAAAAGCCAATGTTGTCCGAGTGATCCGACATGACGGTATCATTTCGCGTGTTCGTTCGTTTTTTATCTCGTAAAAAAGATTTCTAATATATTTTCAATATACGTTGATATTTGATAAAATACTTGTGCGAGTGGTATCAACGATCGTTGACGATATCTCTTTTTTATCCTTTTTAGCATACTTTTCTCATCTTATCTCCTTTCTTTTAATACTTGTTTCGATTGCCACTAACGCGGATATTTGCATAGAAATTTGCACGATGCTCATTATTGTCATTATATCGTTAATGTCCAAGATTAGAAATATAGTCGAGTGATTTTTCGATTCTTTCTCCCTTTCTTTTTTAATGAGCGATTTATTATATATAAAGTGCGCGAATGTATGCATCGAATCTGAAAATTTCATTTGCATATGTGTATTTTCGTTTTTGTTTTGCTTATACCTGAAAAAAAGATAGCGATATAGTGGTTGATGTCAATAATGATTTTCTAATTAAAATTATTTCAAGAAACGAATTAAATATATATTTGAATATTGAATATAACTATATTTTTAAATATATATTTCACAGTTATTTTATCGAGTCTATAATGTTGAAACGCAACAAACGTTTATAATAAACATACACGCGCGCATAATACACACACATTATATTGTGTTATAATCTAATCTAATTTATAAGATAATTTAGTTTTGAGATTCATTTCGATTTGCAATATACTACAACAATGGAGAGGTTATATATGCGCGTGTATAAAAAGTACAAAAACTAACTTGAAAATATTTTCATTTATTCTATATATATATATGGCGATAAAATAAAATAGCATGAAATAATTAGCGTTACGCAAAAGGAAAAGTAAAAAAATTCCATGTATCGTACGTACCTACGTTACGATTTACGTTCCAAATTGTCGCGACCTCGACAGTATCGCTCAAGACTTCCGGCACTTTCAAGTACTTTTCGACACTTTCGACACTTGCGGCACTTCCGGTAGCAAAATTCAGAATTCGGAGCGATATACCGTTTTGTATATTTTGTTGAACTTTGTTAGCGTATATAACGCGCACTTGTCATTCGTGAAACGACCGGCGAGTCTCTTCTTACGTTTCACTCTGTAATACATATACATGCGAGGTATTCCAGGCGAGATCGACCAAGTTCGCTGTCTCGCGTGTACCGAAACATGTCAGATATTTTATCGATGATCATAGGATATCTTCAGAGTGATAGATAGCTCGAAGCTATAATGCCTGAATGTAGCTGCGGCACACACCCGCGCAATCGTAACCACTGTAAAGTAGAGAGAGAAGTTTACGATTGACAATTTCAAAGATTTCAACGCGTGGAGCGCATCACATCGCGGATGGACGACGGACGCGAATTTTCAACTTGTATTGGCGCGATTCGACAGACGCGACGCGAACGCGAACGCAGAACGCGGTACGAAACGAGACGAGAGACGAGAGACGAGGCGAGACTAAGCGAGGCGAGGGCGAGGCGAGGCGAGGGCGAGGCGAGGCGAGGCGAGACGAGGTGAGACGAGGCAGGATGAGGCAAGGTAAGGTAAGATAAGGTAGAAGGTAGGATAAGTATACTAGTTTGGATAGATCTTAAAATCACTCGCAAATGTTGCTAAAGATATTTGTGTTATGCAATTAAAATCCTTAAATTTTAAATTGATTGTTTATAAAGTCAGTAAACGCTCGATATCGGTCGATGTTAATTGCTCGATATCGAAAAATAATTTTCTTTATTACCTCAAATCGATAACAGGTACGTTGGAAAGATGCTTTATGATGTAAATTTTATTTGCGGCATGAGAGATTGTAATTAGATGACAGCACAATGACTTGTTCGTTGCTTCGTCATGTTTCTTTTTTTATCTTTATTTTTTATTACTTATATTTCCCTCTGTCCATGACTCATAGTACAAGGGTACGACCGCTACTCGCAGCAATAAATTATCATGAACCATAGACCATAGACATATGAAAATACGGATATTAGCTGTCGAAAAGCATCGATCTTATTCCTGATTCGCTTCCTTTTGGGTAGATTCGGTTCGGCTATATATACTTGTGATTGGTGGGTAATGTTCCGAGCTCGATGCACACCCAGGTTATTGTTGGTACCTTATCTAGGTATTTTTATACGTCTATGGTTCATGGCAATTTATAGTGGCTGCGAGCTGCGAGTAACGATCGTACTACGAGTCATGGACAGAGAGAAAGAAGTAGTGATAATAAAGGTAAAAAAAGGAAAGAAAAAACCATGACGAAGCAACAAACCGAGTTATTGCGCTGTCATCTAAATACAATCTCCTATGCTGCGAATAAAAATTACGTCATAAGCCACCTTTCCAACGTATGTATGTGTGTGCAATCGTGGCGCGGAGAGTTCTTCTTCTTTCTTAAATGAACGTTGCAGCAACGTTCTGCGCTGTATGGGATAAGTTATAACAAAATTATACTATACATATCGATATATATTTTAGAACATAAATTATATAAAAATCAGTTATATACGCGCGATAACAGTATATCGATTCGCGGTAATAAAGAGAACTTTTGATATCGATATAAACATCGATCGATATCGGGCGTTTACCGCGATTTTATAAACAATTTAAAATTTCAGGATTTTAATAGCATTACACAAATAATCTTGCGAGTAATTTTTAAATTTATCCAGATAAACTAGAGTATAATCGCATATAATGCATGTATGAAGAAAAATAAAGAAGTTCTAATGTAAAGAAAATAATCATATATCGATATATCTCGATATCCTATATCGTTTTTCCACTATCAAAATTGATCGATTATATTTCTCTCATATGTGCATTTTATATTTCATATGTGGCTATGCAAATTTGTCTAAATAGGTTTTTTCGAACATGAAAGACATAATATATATAAGTGAACGAAACCCGAAACAAACACATTTCAAATGTGAATGATTTCGGAAAGAAAACTATATAAAATCTAGTAACTTTTCGCGCAACATTTCCGACCATGTCACGGAGTTATAATAATATATGTATATTTTGCACAGATTACTACGTGGTACGTGTTGGCATGTTTTTGTAATTCGTGTAGTCGCTAAGTTTATCATCGCAATGTGTGATAGCTACGATGATCATCATCAGTGATAATTGGCTGTATACTTGTATTGTAATTATACGAGCAACATTGATTGCTAACACGTGAAATGGCCTGGTTCGGAGATAGCCTATCCAGTCTATCTAATTTAAAGGGACAAATTACGAATTTCACGAAAGACGTTTTATCCGATGGTATCGTTGAGGAAATAGGTAATAAACATATTGAAAATAAATGTACTAAAATTTACAATCAATTTAGGATGTCGGCATTTTCGTTAGCGCATAGCTATATACATAATGCAGTCGAGATGTCGAGAGGCAGGTTATGATTGTCAAATGACGTTTCTAATTTACCGATCGAAAAACGGATATCCTAACCGGCGGTTTGTTACCATTGGATTCTCATTTGGGAACTTATTTACCGGCAGTAATTCAAATAGTTTATACAATCGTAAATCAAAGTTTAAAAAACTTATTTCTTTCTCTCTTGTAATTATCATAATTATTATATCGTATTGTAATATCGACAACGTGTCAAGATATTTGTAGACTTAAAGTCTCGATCGACAATTTGCGTATCTTTTAAATCAGCATTGTATCGAGTTTTAATAAATTCGAGAGCGGCAAACAATATTAATTCTTATTATTTATTTGTACATTATTTTATACTTTTTTATCTACATTGAATATGCTCTTGCTTTAAACTTAAACTTTGCGATTATTTATTATAATCTTATTCTACATTTATTATTTCTAATTATGTGGATAAAATCTTGTATCTCTTATGGAACAGAATTTATAGAAAAATTACTGTAATATTTATGGTTGTAATAATTTTTTTCTCATTTTACTCTTTATATAAGCTCAAGTTAGTAATACTATCAAGTTTTGGAAATACTTGTACAGATACTCTAGCAATAATTAGTATAATATATAAAATTTTATCAATTAATAATAACGGTTTTATGGCTATTTATTTTCAGATGAACGATCAAAAGCTTTAAACGAAGCGAACGAAAGATGCAATCAACTGCAAGATCTTCTCAATTCAAAAGATGCGGAGGTGAGTGCATGTATATATTATAAATTAATAATCGTAATATACATATATACACGCACATGTACAGATTTCTAATATAGTCTGCTAAAAGAGAAGGGTTGCAATGCGATTAGAAATTATTTTAACAGATGTCACATTCCCTGATAATCGTGAATGTAAAGCAAACACATTCATCTCTTATCCGTTAATATATATGATACGATCTGAAATCTTAAATTTCGTTAGAAACAGTGATATATATAGATATTGTAAAAAATATCAGTCTTAAAGGATACAGAAAAACCAATCTTGACTAATTAATGTCAAAAAAATGTCAACAAAATTTTTCTTTGTCAAAAAGTATCGAGAGAGAGAGAGAGAGAGAGGTGAAACATTTCGTATACCTATCTTTACCTATATCTACCTACCCATATATCTATGTGACGAAACACCTTTACCATGACGACAGTCAAGAGGAGGGAGAAGAGGGGAGGGGGGAGATGGGGGAAGAGGAGGATGGAGGGTTTTGGAGGTACCTAGGGGTCACAGAAGATAACACATCGAGGATCGAAAAGTGGGGACTGTTATCGCAATGCAAACGTAAGATAAGAGCGGCAAATGTAAACGCGCATCGTACGTCCCTGTATCCACGACGTACCACCGGACTTCCTTCTGATTGTGCTTCCTAATATTTAAGCCGGAGATGCTCGATTACTTTAAAAGCCCAAATTCAATTCTCGACAGTATTTTTTTACATCTAAGATTGGACAAAAATTTTTTTCTATTATAAACGCTTAATCATAAATTAAACATTAATACAGTTTCTGCCATCTGATACAATCTCTCTCTTTCTCTCTTCTCTCTCTTCTCTCTCTTCTCTCCTTTCCTCTTTTGTAAAAATCAAAAGTATATTAATTAATTTATTATTCAAAATTTATATAATTTTTATTGGTATACTTTAAAGAAGTTGGTTCTCTTATTTTCGATAAATTTTTATTTATTCGTGCTTGTCATTTATTGTCAATCATATTTGCTAAAATTGTTATTGTAACATGTGCGCATATAAGAAATGAACGAAAAGAAATTAGCATGCCGATTGCTATATAGTTTTAATACAATCTTATAGATATACTTTGATTTTGTAATAATTAATATAAAAATCATTTTTATTTATAGATTTCTCTCCTGCGCCGACAAAATACCGAGTTGCAGAGTGCTGTCATTGAGATGAACGCAAAGTACAAAGAATCGGTGAGTCAAAATTCTGCATTTTAAATAATTTTTATTACAATTACTATAGAAAAAAGAATGCTTATTATTTGCGTCGGACATGGTTTGTGAGAAAGATGAAAATATTTATAGTTGAAATTATACATGTTATTTCTTTAAATCGCTAATTAAACGATTATTCGATACAAAATGTTCGTTACAAAATTAAGAATAATCAACAAACAGCACATGTTTTGTTCCTTTTTTAAACAGATATAACTATTTTAACTGTAGCTATTCACGAACGTTCGACGCATTGGTTATCACCTTTTTAAATGTAAGAACTGCTCGCGATTACGTGACCTATAAACCGGTTAGCGTCGTCATACGCTCACCTTCTCTCGGGTTCTCTTCCCTTGTTAATAGTTGAAACACCCAAGTTTCATATCACCACGATAATTTATTATTACATCATTACTTTATAATAATAACGAGAACGAGCCATTGTCTTAAAGTTGTCTATCACTCATTACCTCGCTACGATAATGCAAGCGTGTGTATGTGCGTGTGATATGCATGCGTGCGTACATGCGTACATGCGTGCGTGCGTGCGTGCGTGCGTGCGTGCGTGCGCGAAAGCGCACTTGTGATAACAAAAACTTGCCGTTTGGCATTAGCTAGCAGATACCGATAATAGTAGCAAAAAAGTCATTTTTTATCAGCGTTTAGATAAGGGACTTTTGTTTCGTGTACTAGTTTTATGTAGTAGTTTCATTATAGAGAGTAGCAATAGTTTTATATTTTTTTATTATATCCTTCACACACACACATACACACACACACACAATTGGCTTAATGTCTATTTGTGACAATCGAAAATAAAAATAAGATATTTCGATAGAGATCAAAAGAGAAAGAGGGGGACTTTGAGCTCGACGAAAAAAAATACATATATCAATTTATTGTATATATGAGAGTATACGTAATAATTTATATAATTACAATTAAAGATATTTATGAAAAAAGGGATTATATTCAGAATATGTACACCGTTTTTCGTTGACCTAAACACATTGTTTGAAATTTTATGTTTTATGTCTCAAGCTTTCATTGTGTAGAATGTATATACTGCGTTAGTCTAGAACGAAAGATAAGGCAACGCACTGTTCGTGTTCTTACACTTTATTATATATCTTGGATCAACAAAGGATCGGTCTCACTTGTCGTGGAATGTGTCAGAAATTTCTTCGAGGAAAGAATTTCTCACACGACTTTTTCTTTCAGATAAATCAGCAACCATTCTTTTTTCTTTTTCAAATATTTATTTTTTTCAATACAAATGCGTGTATCATATTTATTGTATTTATTATATATAATCTTATACAAAGAGTGCAAAATATGTCGTACGCTTACGCGAACGTAGTTGACGGTTCCGCGTGCCGGTCACGCGATCTCTCTATTATGACATAGAGGAGACGCGATATTATTAGTGTATGCAAAAGTATGTACGTGCGAAAGAATATCATAATTAACAGAGCCAAAATTAATAAAACTCTCCTGTATATGTTTTGCAATTGATAATGCGCCAAAACTATAGGCGCTAAAAATGTATGCCAGTTTTCTAATTCCTTCGGATCATAAAGGCAAAAAATGTAAGGCCGACACGATGCAAAAGGACACGATGATGATTCATCGTTCGTGCGTTGTTACGTATACGCAAGTGCAGCGATTTTATAGTCCTTGAAATCTATCGTAACTAACGCATCGAAAGTTATCTAATATATTGCTTATCGTTTAAAGTTTAAAGGATAGAAATTTCACGTTTCGTTTTTTTTTTTTTCAATAAATTTATTTTATTCTACGAAGCGTTTATGCTATGGACATCTTTTGTTCAAAATATGGTACTGCTAACGGTAATTCGAGATTAATTGCCAAGAACAAGAATGGAGAAATCGCAAAAAGTAAGACCAAAGAACGGAAAGAGGTTTCACGTGAGTTTGAAATAAACTTGTGAAGATAGTACCGAGTAATATGCTTCCGCTTTAGCCAGGTTCGTGCTTAATTAATAATCATAGCATCTCGAGAATTAATTGCTTTAAGAGTTGTTCTTTCGTATATTGTGAGAGAATATTTTAATTGGGAAAAAATAACGAAAGAGTTGTATAACTATGTCATGCGCTTCGCTGAAGACGAAAAAGATAAAAATTTTTTTTTTTTTTTTTTTTTTTTTTTTTTTGTTTTTTTTGGTAATATAAAATATGTTCTCGACACAGGTATTATTATATGATAAATTATAAAATGAGATACTGCACGTGAGATACCCAAAAATTATATACTATTAAAATAAAATGCGCTCTCATCATTCTCAATCGCGTGGCTATAAATATAGATTGAAGATTGAACGGGCTTGCGCGAAAGTTGAATATTTCAGGATATATATTGTTCAAGATATAAAAAATTGTTCTCTAAACTTTACGCATTGTACGTAATCGGTTCGAAAGATTTTAACATCAGATCGCGTATGCGAATCCTATGATACGATAACGGTCCGTAAATTGGTTCAATCTATCGATCTTGGTTAGTAGTTTCGTGCTACCCCACAGTTTCACTCTGTCGCCGATAACACTCTAAAGTATGATAAGAGCGACGCGGGCTGGGGTTGCTCAGTTTTCAGCACGATAGTGACTATGACTACTGTCTCAATCGAGTGGCTATAAATACAGGTTGAACGAGTTTGCACAAAAGTTAACCAAGTGCTGTTTATGCGATAAAGTTCGGCAGATAGTAATTTTCGTCACTGAAAGAATTATTAAAGGTTAGTAATATAAATGTTTTCTCTCTCTCCCTCTCTCTCTCTCTCTCTTTTTATTCTTACCACTATCTGTTGATGATTATCCTCTATTATTTGCCATTTGACATTTAACATTGACCGCTTATTTTTAACATGTGTGAATTGATTTAAATTTATTTTTTAATATGATTATGCACTTTATTGTTTCATTGTGTATTTTTGTAAATATTACGCCGCTATTTTTAAAGATCTTAGAGACATAATCGTATAGAGTTATAGAGAAAGAAACGAAAGAATAACATTGTTATATGTAACGTCATTGGTATATGTAACACTGTCTGCGAAGATACAGTTAGATATTACAATTATAGTAACAGTTTTCGATTGTATACTTGGATTCTTTCCGGTCGGTGAATCCATCTTCTTTGTTGTTTCTTTTTTCGTCAGAAACGATGTTTTGTAATTCTCTATCGACAAATCATTAACGGTGATACTACGATGAAGAATTAGACAGGCATTAAAATTCAGGCACACGAATATTCGTAATATGTATTTATGGTTTTTAAATCGTTGCGCGATCTATCATTCGTGTCTCGTTGAGCTCTAGTCCCCCTTTTCAAATTTTTTTTATTATTTCTCTCTTCTTATTCATGTTTCAAATATACACATTTAGGCGGAAAAACCAGAATCTCGAAGGTTTCTTGGCCGATTTTACTATAGCGATTATTATGGTGTTCCTTTATAATGTTTTCCCATTTCCTTCAGCTGTGCCCGCAGCAAGCGCATCTACCATACGGGCCGATAAAAATGTCCTGTCGACGCCTGCGTTAATATAACACAGCACGTATATTCATACACGGTCGTATTAAAACGGAAAAAGATAGCAAAATAGTCCAATTACATTACACGCCCGACTGTTTTTCCGCATTTTTATATTTAAATAATGCGTTTTACATTTGCAAAAAAGAAAGTGAAAAAGAAAAGAAATTACGCGCTCGATATATATGAAAGCGTATACGTATCCGTGAAATATAATTTATCGTCGTGATGTTATGTGACTATTAAAAGCTCGGGATATGAAACAGTTTTCGCGATAGCGGAGTATTTGCAGAAACGAAATATCGAGTCGAAAACGTTTTCGCGAAATGTTCCGTAGTGACATTCGTGGTCTGCAGACTGCTTCGACATGAAATCGTACACGCCCGCGCGCGCGCGCGCGCGCACACACACATACACACAAACAAAATACATGCATACTATATGATCATGCATCCTCGTACAGTTTTCTTACGTTTACACCGCTCCGCGTAACCTCCACGCGTAACCTCCTTCTCCTTCTCCTTCTCCTTCTCCTTGTTCTTCTCCTTCTCTTTCTCCTTCTTCTCTTCCTTCTCCGTCAGCTGCGTGTAGTGTAGGGCCGCTGTTAGCTGGTGGAGTGGAAGGTGGAAGGTGGAAGGTGGAAGGTGTAATAGTCGAAACATACACAGTCATTCGTCGGCCAGCGCGTTCATTCGTCGCGTCACGCATCTCGCAACGTGCCCGGGGACACACGACCGTTTTTTCTTCCCTGAAAAAATGGGATGTAGCTAGGAAAGTTGCTCTCCACCAATTGAGCTCAAAATACGTCGTACGTCAGTATTTCGCGAGTTGTTTTTTGGAGCATACAAGCGGATCGAAAGACTATATGCGACAACAATTTTCAATTCCCAAGTAAGTTTTCAGTATCGTTTCTGTTATATAGAGAACGTGTTATTTTTCATTGGATGTTTTATCAAAACAATCATTTATCCGATTTATAATATCTGTCACTGAAATACGATAAGATAAGTTTATCTCGCTATACTAGTTTTAATACAATTAAAAAAAAAAAAAGAAAATACTTTTAATATTTGCGAAAGAATGCTGAAAGAAGGATTTTTTTCGTTCATCTTGTGTTTTTCGTTCCATCTTCTTAAAAAATACGCGAGAAATCGATGAAACATTCTATTTTATTGTGAAAAAAGAATTATTATTGCATGGAAAAAAAAAATGTTAAATAGCAAATTTGTATGCGTGTGCGTATGTGTGTGTGTGCGTATCATGGGATATATTTCAAGTTGCAATATAAAAAATAACAGAGCACGACTCTTCTATCGCGCCATTTTTTCGCGCGCGAAGCGATGACCAGGTAATTTATCGCGCGCACGCGTGCATTTCTATGGATATTTCGTAAGTTTTGCATCAAATTTCAAAAATGCAATCCTCGATAAATTATTGTATATGTATTTGATTCCTTTTGCGAAATGAAATTTAAATGGAATTAATTTATATCGATCATTATATAAATAATCTTGCGAATAACATTTTAATGCCTTTAAGATTATAAATCTCTCCTTAACATATTTTTATTCAGACGTACAAAAAAAATGTTTGCTTGCCATAATATGTTTAGTATAATTTGTTTTCCGCGTGCTACATGTTTTATGATTGCAATATAAATGTTTAATGGCGGAATACAAAAATTCGGGAATTCAAGATTCATTTGTTGGGTAATCTAGTTCTTAAATTATATAAGATTTTCAATTCTCTGGAAAGGTATAAAATTTTAACACTTTTTTTTTTAAACTATACACATTTAAAGAATAAACATGCAAAAAACATGGAAATTTCTTGGAGAAATTTTAATAGCAAACATTTACGATAGACGTTTATAAAATGCAAAACGAGTTGAAATTAGCGTTAGAATTTGCAAGGCAAGTGTAATTTATTTATTTCCATTTGGTCGCACAGTATAAAGTACATAAGTCGAATTTGCGCCTATTTCGCGTTAAGCTACGTTCAGACAGAGTTATCGGTAGATAATGCACGAAGGACAGGCTTACCTATGATTACTTAACCAACGCGACGCGCGATTACCTGTATACTCGTACGATGTTGGACGGTATTAGTTGCAAAAATAGAATGTTACTTGTAAACGATAAAAGTTGAAGCGCATACTTATCGTATATGTCTCAACGTGTGTGTCATATATATATATATATATATGCCCGAGTATCTCATTGTCAGTTGAAAGCATTCGATTTGATGGTGACGTGTGCGCGTATGTATGTAAAATATTTTAAAATAATAAGTATACGAAAAGGTACGAAACATGTGTGTTCTAGAGCTATTTGTCCACATGCTTGATTTTTCATTTTTAGTTGGCAAGAACAATTTATTTAAATGAAAAAATTCTAATTCTAAAATTCTAATCCTCTTGTTCACACATGTATACGTGGTAAGTAATCGATATTTCTGTGTAATTTGTTAAAATAACGAGTGAACATCTGACTTGACGATTCAAATACATTTGGTGGGTGCGGAAGGAGGTAGGGCGAGATGTATAATGAATTTTACACGTTACAGAGATACAGTACGTTTAGCGTAAAATATAAATGTTTCACGCGTAGATAAATTTCCAACTTGGCATTAAAGAAAAATTAGATTTACTAATTTAAATGAGATAGATTTTTGAATTAAATGCGTACAATGTAAAGATTGAAAAATTTTGTCAACATGATAAAAAGTGGATCATTTTTGTCTTTGTTGCAATGGCGATGTAAAAAAATACCACTTTTTTTTTTTTTTTTTTTTTTTTTTTTGGTTTCAAAAACTAATAACTAATCGGGTAATAATGTTTACATTCATAAACATAAGCATTAAAGCATTAAAACATTCTAATATAGATATGGATAGACTAAATATATATATATATATATATATATATATATATATATATATATATTTTGACGATCTCGTAATATTAGAAATATTAGCTTTTTTCAAGAAAGAATTAATTGAAGAGTTTGATTCGTTATCGCTCTCACATACATCTCCGAATCGTAATATGCGATTTAATATTAGCAAATGAACAGCTGTGACGGGATGTAACAACATGTTGTCTATTGCAATCGACATTCAAGGGAAGAGAATTTTGCTCTTACGTACGTTACATGGCCCAAAGATCAAAAACGTGTAATATAAAAGATGAGAGATGTCGCGAGAAGCCATAGCTATCGCATATTTTTGTTGTATCCGTTGTATGGTGATGAGCTGACACTACATCTCGTCTCCGATGACGACTTCTTACTTCTTACTTCTTACTCCTTACCTCGAAGAACTCGCTGAGCGCCAATTTCTGAGTATCCAACACCAGAGACCAGAGACGGCGTGTTATCCGCGACGTTTATCGCGAATGTTCTCGTCGAGTTTCTCTCTGGCGGATGTGCATGCGTTCCATTAGTCCATCCATAATTTTCGTTCCGCCAATTAATCGACATTAATCAAATTATAGATTTCGAGGCTTGATAATATTCAATTTACGAGGGAGACTGTTAAATTGTCCCGTACAAGTTGTCGCATGATAAACGAGGAAATAAGCGTTAAATAAGTGGATGAGATATCCATGCATGATATCGCGCGAGAGCGTTACTCGACATACAGGATATTCGACAATGCAAGGGTCATGCGAGTCAAAGCCGGAAATAGTAAGCTGTGGTTCTCATTCGTCGAATAAAACTGCTTTCTCGTGCCAAATGAATTGTTATAGATATATATATATTAGAAACTTTTTCGTTTCTCTCGGCACGGAGTGCACGGAGCAAAGTCGCGACGAATAAAAATAATAAAAGTGCTCGAACTTGGAAACACCTGACTTGGCAATACACAGTTGCTGTTATTTATCCAGATTATTTATCGAACCCTGAACCCCACGGACATCGCGTGCGTGTACGAGTACACTCTCGGTCGCTCTTGTATTTTTACGTCTCGCGGCTCACGGCTCGCGGCCACTTGGTTACGTCACTGGCACTCACATCGTCGACATTATTATGTTCCTACTGACGCAGGTACAATATGCCTGCCACGCTATTAGAGCAGCCTGTGTTAACCTGAAACTCCGCGTAAGCGGAATGTGTTTCGTAACTTTGCGTCGCGAGACACATAGGAATAAGGAATATTATAAGCGATATTCCTTTACTATCGGCAAAAATGTGCGCGCGTATGTATGCCGAGTAGCGAGGTACATCGTCGCTGGCGCTAAAAATTTTTTTTTTTTTTTTTTTTTTTTTTTTTTTAATTATTTTCAAAGAGGAACGTCTTTGCGATCCGATACACGTGTCAAATAATCGCATGCTCTAAAAAATTACCTCTTTTCTTTGCAGTTGATTGAATCGAGCGATTAATTATATCATTCGCCAAATATTTCTCTCATTCCCTTCGAAAAATACACGTCTTTCTTCCAACGCGATGCAAAAAGGATAACGGAGCAAACGCAGATGCATCGGTTGGAAGAAAGCATGTGTTCGCGCTTCGTAATAGCGTAATAGCGATTTCATTACACATTATCGTATATAGAGCAACATCTGCGCCTCGAGTCACACGACACGAAAGCTATTAAACATTTTTTCCTTCTCCTGTAAATTAATTATTTTACTTTTATTTTTTTGCGTATTTTCCTTTTTTTACTGCCATTTTCTATACTTGAAAAATTACTACAATAATCGACTACGACAACTCTGAAATATATATGCACGTGTACAGCCACGGTACGGCCGAGTCTCGTCGGTTGATTTTTCATCGCAGGATTACGATAACTCGCGCGTTTGCGATTGATAGTAACATCCTTTCCCACGCTTAATATCAGGATTGCGTTATCTGCGCACGACGCATCAACCACGCTGCACAATATTTACCGTACAAATATTGAGTGCACGTAATGTTAAAAGGAGGATTTGAAAACTCGAAGACTCGAAAATAAGATACGTTTGTTGTAAAGGTGACGCGTTGAAATTGCTTTTTATCTCTAGACCCATTAGATTGAAGAAAACTATTTCAACATGTTGAAAGATAACTATTCAAATAGCAAAAGGTTACTATTTTCACCAAGTTTCCCTTTTTGTTTCATCGGTTGACTATTGCGCTGCGTCTATTTTAAATATTGTAATAATATATCTATTCACACACACTGTATATGTATTATTCAGTTTTACAAACATATAGTCATTTCTACGTCAGTTTCATATAATGTATCGAGCGTATCGAATGTTTTAATTACTTATTGGGTTTGGAGAGATTCGTTTTTACAATGTTTATCGCATCGTGTAAGTCGATGGAAAACTAACGCGATATATTCTGTTTTATAAAATTGAGGACTTGTAAGTATTATCGGAGGCATTATATCACTGGACTTACACATCTCGCCAGCGACATCGACTTGTCGCTCTCGACATACCGAAAAACGTGTAAAACGAACAAAAAGAAAAGGCCGTTACGAAGAAAAGATGGAGACTCTTGTCGTGAGACTATATGCAAGTCAAACGACGCATTATTCCTTGACCTGACCCAACGAAACCTCTTTTCATATTCATTAGGATCGTCCCACTTCAGTCTGTCGCTTTGGACCACGGAACGCAACAATGTGTCTCCGATGCATCGCGCAAATCGATTTGTATGAAAAATATCGAAGAGAATAGAGCTTATATATATATATATAAAACACTGAAATATTAAATACATTTTCAATATTATGTTAACGGAATATTGAAGAGTTGTTGTAATGTTAGTTTTTTCACAAACATATTTATATAATTGATATTGATTGTTAAATACATGTATTGTTTTATTTGTATCATATATATTACTAATCTAATATATTCTAATCTAATACAAGATAAATGAAAGAGCGAAAATATTAATAGATTTTTTTATTTTTTTAATTTTAGTTACTGTCTCGAAAATCTTTCTATATTTTCTCGTTTTAATGAAAAGAGGGGTGGAAAAGGGAGCTTTCTCGTTAACAGTTTTCTTTATACATATATACATTTTAGTCTGGTTAGTATTTCCATTGGATAAAGTATGCCCGATAAGAATCTAGATTTTATCACGCAAGATCGAGTACAATGCTATTCCCGAGTCGCAGGGCCATATGTATAATACCTATGTATTCATTAGCATTTTGACGTATATCGTTCACCTACCGAGGAAAGATTTCCGTAAGCATCCGCGGCGGAATGGAAAATGACGGAATCCAAACGTGTTTTCCCTTTAAGATCCCATTTTAAAGACAAACGAGAAACTTTTGTCAGGAATCCAATTTTCTCAAATTCCTTCCATTATCGGATCTATACATTTGGCTATATTGTATACGTAGATCTTTCAACGACAGATTCACTGTTTAGCGTGACGAGACAAATTAGCAATGAATAAACTTTTAAAATTTATCGGAATCGAAAAAGAGAGAAGATGCCTTTTTGGCACTCTTTAGATTCAAATTTTAAATCATTAAAAAAACTCGAGGGACATAAACATATCTCCTTTTTCTTATAGAAGGATACAAATCATATCGATGAAATTGAAGGCGTCTTTTGCGATCCGTCGTGCGTCGACAATCGAAACGCAAAGAATCAGAATGTACGTCAGCTACAGGAACAATTGGCTCAAGCCACCGTGAAAGTACGCGAATTAGAATACGAGCTAAAACATGTTCAAAAGGTAATAATTATTAATAATAGAATCGTCTGAGGAAAATTCAAGTTTGCGAAAACAATTATAATACAGGTGGCCAACACATCCTTGAGAGATGATCTTTCCGATGGACATCAAAAGGCTGAAGTCGTAAGAGCGAGACAAGATATGATGAATCGTATAATACAAATGGAAGAAAAGGTACAAAGAGCATAATGTATTTAAACCGTTATCTTTTAGTTACAAATCGATTAATCGTGAATAAAAACAAAAAGCTCAAAATTGTGATGGAAAGAAATTGATTCTCGTGTAAGAACGCGAGCCATTGATAAAACATAAAGTTACTTATATTAAAGATAAAGAGGTACTCTTTTCAAGAGTTAAATGTTTCAAACATGTTTGGAAGGATGGAGAAAAAAATCATTTACGGGTACTTTAATTCGATGAGACGAATTTCTCAGAAATTAATATACATGTATTTGTTAGATTATTCTATTACTATTTCTGTTGCGAATAAGAAGGAAAAGTTGTTTGCTTCAACTTTTTCTCACTAGAGATTAATTCTTTATTAAATATCGTAATGTTTCACGTTTAACGATTACTTTGAATAATGTTATATTATGTTTTTAATTTATGAAAACTAATTTTAGAGGAAAACACGCGCGAGAGCAACTATAAACTCTTTCCCTTTAAGAGAAATCAGATCATTTTTTTAGTATATACAATATTATTTATTATCGGTATTTTACGTCTTTTTAGACTCGAGAAGCAGAACGAAACGCTAAGCATATTCAATTGGACGAGGCCAGTCTTATCAATGATTTTCGTTCAGTAATATCGAAATTAAACTCACGTGAAAAGTTTGATTTAGTCAGTGGAGCGCTGAAAGCTTTACAAATCGAAAGCGAAACGCGAAACGAGAAGGATCGCGAAAAATCCAACGAGCAACTCGAGAAAGTCGATGGTATCGAATATAATACTTTAACCTTGAAACATCATTTGGATAATATAAGCTTGCAACAAAATAAATCGAGTGATACGATTCAAGAATCTTTGTCCAACAAGCGGGAGATAATATTACAACAAAGAATAGAGAAACTTCAAAATGAAAATAAAGATCTTTTGGACGCTATGGAGAAATTGGACGAAGAGCATACGCAATCGATCGGTAAGTAATAGTAGTAGTCCTTACTATACGATATCCTCATCGTTTTTACTTTTGATCGATTAATCTCGCATCGTCGCTGTCAATTTCGAGAAATTGGACGAAGAGCATACGCAATCGATCGGTAAGTAATAGTAGTAGTCCTTACTATACGATATCCTCAGCGTTTTTACTTTTGATCGATTAATCTCGTCGCTGTCAATTTTGCTATAATTTTAAAAAGCTACACTAACACAAATTCCGCATTTGCACAGAAAAACTATTGTCGCTCAGAGAAGAAACTAATAAAAAGCATCGTTCTCTACAAAGTGCATACGAGCAGCTTTCCATAGATTATAACAAGTCCCAGAAAAGAATAATTGAGTTTCGTAATAGTGATTTGAAACTCGATGAAAATGCTTATACCGAAACGAGTCATCGATCTGTTCAGACGGACAATTTAGATAATTTAGACAAACACACTCAAATAATGGTTCCTTTTCAAAGAGATGATATAGTGTCGAAAACAAGCATTCTCGATGATATTACTCGGAAAATTAAGATGATTTTAAAAAGCTATACCATAAGCACTATTGAACCGGGAGAAACGATCTTTGAAGCCATCGCGAAACAGTATGTTGATACTAAATGGAAATTAGACATTTTAGAGAGGAAAGTAACTGAGATTACCAGAGATTTAAAGGAAACCAAAGAAACGAAAGATGTCTTACAAATAGAATGCGAAGAATTGCAGTCTCATATCGATTCGTTATTGTTGGAAAATCAAGTTTTAAAATCGAGTTTACCATCTATTCCTGAAGCAAGCGAAGAACGTGTAGTCTCCTTAGAAACGGAAGTTGAATCTTTACGGGAAGAAGCGAAGCGACTCTCGGTTGAAAACGAAACGATACGAGAAATAAATACAAATTTGACGCTCGCTGTACAAGATAAAGGAATGTTTTCGACAAGTCACGATCATTTGCAAAAAGATGTAAATCGCGAATCAAGTGACTCATCTGTAAAGGAAAATGTAAAATTTCCAATATGTTTAGAAAAGAATAATAGTTCAAATGAGAATGCGGTATCTGTCGAGCAAATAAAACTCAATCCTGAAAATATAACGCGAGAATTAAAGTGCTTCAAGATATCCAAGACGAAATTGTTGAAAAATAATGATCTTGCATCGTTGCAAGATCAGGATATCGTAGATAAATTGGCAAACGAGAGTAAAGAAGATTTGCTACAGAAGAATACGCAATTATATGATACAACTTTGCGAGAATCTGACCTACAAGAAGAAAATGATTATCAGTTGCACGATTTGCAGGAACGGCTTGACATAGCTAATTGCGAGAAATTCGATTTGGAGAATGATATTTTACATATGGAAAAAGAATTGGATGCAATGCAGATTCAAATGAACATAAAACAATCTCAAATAACGAAATTAAATCAGGATAATGATAGATTAATTAAAGAAAATATATCTCTGTTGGAGCAATTAACTGCTACGCACGATGAATCATTGGACAAGATAGAATTGTTAAACACGGAGATGTCATTGCTTCAACAAGAGCATAAAGATTTGAAACAGGGGGCATCGATTTACAAGGAAGAATTGACTCGGACAAAGGATAAATTGTACGAGGCGCAAGAACGATATGTAAAATTGGAAAAGGAACATTATGCTTTAAAAGCGCGGTATGAACAAATTGAATTAGAAAAGAAAAATATTCATACACAAGCGATGAGAATGGAAGAGCTTGAAAATGAATTGTGTCTAAAAGAATCATTTATAGAGAAGTTGAATTTTCTACGAAATAGATCTAAGCTTTTAGAACAAGAAATAAAAGATGTTCGTACTAAAGAAACGCAGTTGTTGAAATCTCGAGAACACACCTCGGAGATATCCTCGCCAAACATAGATAGCGCCAATAATAGATTGCAGGAAGAACCTTCAACCGTTGAAGATAATTTAATCGGAAAAGAAAACATTATACACGTGAAAGCGGAAATTCTAGATTTAACGCCGAAAGATACATCGATTATCGATGAAGAGAAGCGAGAAAAGGATGTCTTAAAGGTACACAACAAACAAATGACGAGTGAAATTACTGAATTGCGTAGCAAATTACAATCTGCCATTGAGAATAGTAAAGAGTCGGCAGAGATGGCTAAACAGACCATCGAGGGCCTCTCGCATCTTATTCGAGAAAAAGATCAGGAGATGAGCATTCTACAAACTGAAGTAGAACGTGCACAGACTATTATCGCACAAACTTCCAATGAACTTGTCGCAATCAGAAATCAGAAGGATGAATTGGAACGAATTGTTTCTGCGAAACATAACGAAAATTTACAATATCAGAAAGAAATTGAAAAGTTGATTCAACGCGTGAACGAACAAACGGCTCAAATCCAAAGATTAATTTCCGAGAAAACAGCGAGTGAAATACGAGATGAGAACGTAAATCTAAAGGAACGGCAAAAAGACCGTATTCATCAAATTGTTGACCAACAAAGTGGGCAAAGCGCCGAAATTGTGGCTCTGAACAAAAAATGTGACGCATTAGAAGTTGCTTTGAGGCAAGAGCAGTCCAACAATAGAATTCTGCAAAATCAGCTTACCGAAAGCCGAAACAGGGAAGCTAGTTCTGTTAAAGAATTAGAAAGATTGAGAACGCATTTGGTCGAAATAGAATCGAGCTATACGGAAGAAGCTCTAATCGCTGAAAAGAGTCGTCAAGAATTGGAGACGAGATTATTGCAAGCTGAAGAGAAAGTAAAGAATAGTTCAACTGCTTTCACATCGGCAAATATTCGGGCAAATCAGCAGATAGAAACGTTGCAGCAACAGATAACTCTGATTACTCAACAAAGAGATCATATACAGACAAAATTATCTGCCGCAGAAGACAATATTCAACTGCAGTCTGCCTCTTTGACTAATTTGCAAATAGTTTTGGAACAGTTCCAACAAGGTGAGCAATTTTAATGCGTAACAGTTTTATGTTTCACTGTTACAATACTATTACACACACACACACACACACACATATATTTATATATATATATATATAACTGGTATAAACTTGTAAAAAAACTGTGTGCGTATGTTCTGTAAAAAATGTCTCTACAAAAATATTCACCATAATAATTATATTTTGATTCAAACTCGTACATATCTACTATATCATATTGATGACACGTTTCAGATAAAGAACGCGACATTGAGTCAGCTACAGAAAAAATTCAATGTCAGCTCAATGAAGCATATAAGAAACAAGATGAATTTTTAAATGAAATTTCGATTCTTAAGGTTTGTCTTTGTACTTTTCGTGTATTTGTACAATGGTATTCCTAAATTTCTCTCTTCTTATAAAACTGTTGCACATGTGTATTATGTGTATTTACAGCAACAATTATTTGAGGCTAAAGAATGCTTGCAGGCTGCCTCAAGATTAAGCGAACAGCTTGAGAAGAAGGATGAAGAAATCGAGCGACTCGACGAAGAAGGTAACCATTTCCAAAAATTATATATAGTATTGCCTGCATCTTGTTTCTGGTTTATGGCATGATTAATGTTTTTAAATTAAATCGCATTCTTTTATTCGCATAACAAGATAAAATTTGAAATATGTTTTTTCTTTCACTGTGATATAAAAAAGGCCGATCATGTTTTTATTTTATTTACATATTTGTTTTTATTTTAATTCATTACGGTTGGTTGATAAAACGTGAGAGATGAAAAGCACATCGGAATATAAAATCGCCGATAAAAATTAGTCTGATTGTCAATATCATCTCGATGAAAAATTAATTATATAAATATATAAAGTTTATAGAGTATGTATAACTATCCCTTTCAACTATAATTACAAATTTTTTTCCATCAAAATGCACATGTAGAGAAAAATTTTATATTCCGTGTTGTCTAATAATAATAATAATAATAATAACAATAATGATAATAATCATAATCATAATAATGTAATAAAGTTTTAGCAGTTGCTGCCACAATAACTCGATATAATATTCAGACATTCGCACTGTCCAATATTCATTACTAAATTGTTGTTCTGCAGATTTCTAAATCAGATATATCAACCATATATATATTGTATATGGCTTCTTTTTGTAAATAACATAAAGCTACGCATATACAGGCACATACACAACATGTATAAGAATGTGTAAAAAATTGACTATTAAATTAAATTATAACATTGCGGACACACACGCAAACACACACACACACATGTGATATTAAAGATACACTATATGCGTGCATTGTCGAAATACAAACAAATTCTAGTGCAAAATTATCAATGTGTGCGCGTTCTGTGACTAATCTCTGCGAACACGTATATAATCCGGTGATGTAGTCAAATATCAGCTGGTAATTCTGGGATTGTGACAGTAACCCAGGATTCTTGCTGGTATCTGGCTACGAACTGGATCATCGCCTTTCGCATACTCACAAATCACGTATTGATTTATTCATGCAATTGCCACTGGTGCTGGTTTCTGCACTTTACTATATTCTGCGAGTTTTTTTGTTTCTCTCCCTTTTGGTGATTCTAACTTGAAAAACACATTCAGGAACTTGAAAATACCATCATTAACGCTGCACTTTTCCTTCTATATAAGTATAAGAATGATTGAGAGACGAATTATATCTTCATCTCGCCTGTTTTTTGATTTGATTGGATCAGCCATCGTTTCATTATGTCTTATTATTACGCGACTAATTATCAATTTCCAATTGTGTACGAATGGTTATATCTATAGATATATATGGTATTAGCGAATTATTTATCTTGCACATGTAGTAGGTGTTATCTTTTTGATTGATTGAAATTCTCGATATTGTGAGACGAGACCATGTAACGGTACTTTGCAATAATATAACTTTAACACTACATATATTGGAATGCATGCACGAGAGATAGCAGTGATGTAAAGCTGACTCTTACTCTCATAACTAGCTGTATACAATGATACATATACTTAAATATTAAATCGATACACCAGAATTGCGCAAAACGATCGTAATCATTTGCTAATTATAAGGATTGCATTGTGTCTCAAAACAATTGCCATTGCTTTTATTTCTAATTTCTTTGCGTCTAACTGGTGTTTTCTCAACAAAAAAATGTTGAAGTTTTTCTAAATGAAAGACTTGGAAATAGAAGAATTGACAATAGACAAATTGAGATAGGAATGAAACATTTTAACACATTAGAATATATATTAGAGTATATATACTAAATATAAATATGCATATAAAATAACGGACGTGTATAGTCCTAACTTGGTAGCGATGACGTGGGTAATCTCATGCGGTAACTGTGAGTGTGTAAATACAAAAAGCTCATATTACCTCGTGGGGTTTCCCACTCGTTACCACGATTCGTCAAAATTACAAACTTTTTCGATCAGTCAAAAATCATTTTTACATATATCAATCAGAATAGTCAGTCATTTTTTTTTCAGCTGTGATAGTTCAGTTTATAGCATGTGATATGTAGTCTCGTATAAATGTTTTTAGATACAATATATAAACTGTGTGAGATTTTTTATATATGTATACATATAGAGAGAGAGAGAGAGAGAGAGAGAGAGAGAGAGAGAGAGAGAGAGAGAGAGAGAGAGTGGCTATATATAAAATAATATATAAAAATTATTTGTGTGTGTATGCGTGCGTATTGTCTTGAAAATACTCTGTTAGAGTTTGAATGTACTCTGCTACGTAATTGGAGTACAAATCATTACTAAAACGCTTCTTTAATTCTAGTGGCATGCGTGCGACTTTAGTTTCGTAGAACGGCATGATAAACGAAGAATGCAGCATGAGTAATTAAGACGCAGGCGAGAGTATTGCATCAGGTACTGGTGTGATGTCGAGGCAACCAGTACTTGTGTTATACTTACGCTCGTGTCCTTTCAAACTACCAATTCATCAACGATGGATCGCGCATGGTGTACATAGAAATCATATAAATTTTGCATAAATATGTCTTGGAATAAGCATCGTACATAAACACATAAACACATATATACACACATTTATGAGTATTAATTGCACTCTATATAAAGATGAAAAAGACGAAAGAATGAAAATTTTACATGTATATGCAAATGGGTTTAATTATTAAATTCTTGCTTTTTTTCATTTTCCTCTCGGATTTAAATTTATATTGACATTTAAAAAGCGTTCGAATAAAGATAAAAAATGTGTATTAATATCAAAAATGTATACTATATTCGTTTCTAGTTGCGCGATTGACGACATCGCTAAATTTTGCCGAGCAAAGAGTAAAAGAGGCAATGGAGCATGATGAGGAGAAAATCGACAAGTGAGTAAATATATACCTTTTTTTCTAAATAAATGAACAAAAGTACCTTTTCTCTCTTGGATAATTTTTTCTTTTTCTTTTTTTTTTTTCAGGATTCTCATTAAAAATCTTCTCTTGGGTTATTTATCCTCGGCTACATCAGACAAGTCTGCGATACTCAGGGTCTTTGCCAATGTCTTGAATTTCACCGACTCGGAAAAAGATAAAACTGGTTTGAACAATGGGACTGCACAGAGCGGTCGGTTCTTACGCTCTCACGACAAAAGTGACAGTGTGCCTTCAAAGGTATACAGATTAATTTACTAATATGAATATTAATTAATCAGACTCAACAGATTAAAAGTTTTGCTTGCATTCGTGATTGGACAATTGCGATTAAATCACGATATATTGCATATTTTGCAGTATCAGGAAGCGTCTTTATCGACAGCTTTTGTGAGATTTTTAGAAAGTGAATCTAAACCGAAGCCTCAACTACCACCTTTGCCGATCGTGAATTCAGTGAGTAACAACAATTTGTTGTGATGCGAGATTCTTCATTAAAAAAAACATTATTCTCATTATGCGTTTTAATTGCAGTCTTCGTCGCGGTCAGGATATAACAAACAACGGCCTCCATCATCGGCACAATCTACATTATTGTTGTCTAACGTTGCTCTTCCAACATTTCCAGACTTTATTCCGGCCAGAAATACGGGATCTATCTTGAAGGAGGTATTAAAGGACAGTTGATATTAAACGCATTATATTAAAAAAAAAAAAAATTGTACAAATAATATTAGAGATTACAATATATTCGGTTGCATTTTATACCAATATTGTATCGCCTGATTGCATCCCACTAGACTCACCTTTTGCACATTATCCGAATTTTGTTTTTTTAATAACCAGTTACATGGTCAATACATATATATATACATATGTTGTATATTTTATGTGTGTGTATGTGTCTCTGTCTGTTGGATAGATAAAGAGCGATATTCTTGTTCACTTGAACTAGAGTTTTAATATAGCCATATAAAGTTACAATGAACAAAAAGTATATCGCTGCTTTCTTTTCGCAAAGAATAGCAAAGATTCTCTACTTATAACGCAATGACACAACGTCAATTACTACAAGTAATATAAATATATAGTAAAGTTTCATTATATCTCTAACGCACGTACTGGGGGCATAAATACAAAATTAGATCGTGCATATCCCAACAGAACTAATGTATAAAATATAAATCTCTATTCAACGATTTCATACATTAGATATTATCATTTTGCGAAACATATGTACATAGACTTTCTGGCACTTTTCGTTCAATCATATCAAACTGTGGTGGCGTTTTATAAAAAACTGGATACATTTTTTTATTTAATAACTAACTATAAAGTTTTCGATAATTATCACAAGAACAAACAGATGCAAAATAGCCGTTAGTGATTAATGTTTTATCATATATAAACAGATATATACATATACATATATATATGTATACATATATATATAATATTTATTTAATTACGTCCA